GTGGGCAATGTCCGTGTGACAGATTGATAGCATGAGCCTCAAGCATAGCTTGCACGCAATAAGCAAACAAACACATAAAGGGAGGGTATAAATGATGGGCCGCAAGAGCAGGACTGTCAGGAGGACGAGAGAGCATGAGGTTCAGTGTCGTATGGAGCCCAATTTCAACATCTGGCTTTTCTCTTCAAACAAAATTGGAAATGAAGTCGAGATCCTTTCATCGACATTGTCATCCCTTCAACACCCTTCTGCTGGCTGGCAAGGGTTTCGATCCCAACCCCAACACCGTCGGTGTTTGCCTAGACGAACAAACGTTCTTCTCCCTTCATATGACTGCCCCTCACCGGATATCTGCCTCCTAAAGCTCTCAAATTGTTTGCAAATTCTGCCGACCGTTGACTTTTAGACTGACTCACAAAGAACAGAGCAAACTCCGGAGAATGGGAAAACACTTCTACAATATCATCCGCTCCTTCCAGTCAACTTCTTCCGCAGAACTGAGACTTCAAAGTCCGGACGAAAACGAGCTTTGACTTGACAACCGGACGGGAGGTAGCTGGTACCCTCACCACCTCTCACCATCCACCCTTCTTCCTCCCATCTCTCGCCCTGCACACTTAATCTCACTTCCTCCGCTAGCACATCCCCTCTCCGAAGAAGAAGGCACCCTCCTCCAACATAACAACACCTTCCACCTCTCACCATCTACTCAACAACCACCCTCCCCACGCGCGCGCGCAACTGCCTCATCGAAGCAACCACCAGCGAGCCACATCATGGCTTTCCGACAACCGGCCCCGCACATGGCTCAGCCCATGGGTAAAGCGGCTCAGGGCCGTCAAGTCGCCGAACCGATCGTCGCTTCGGAGGAGTACATGCGCTACCTAACCAAGCTGATCCCGACAACAACGGAACTTGTCAAGGCTGGATTCGTGATGAGCCCGCTCACTAAAGCTGAGCTTCAGACGAAGGTCAAGTGCAAGAAGTGTAACAAGAAATGTGAGTTGCACTTGCATACCCACTGGCAAAAGGTGGCGATAGCTTCACTGTACTGACTGCGCTCTCATTATATCAGGCACCAAACCCGATCGCGCACCGCCTAGAATGATCTCTTACGCCGGCGAAGGCCCCGGAAATGGCGGCGCTGAGAACGGACTTACCCCGACTCCGACTGCTACTGCTTCAAACGGTTCAAGCGGTAGACGTAGAAGCCGTGGCATTGGCAAGTCTCACACGCACACTCACACGCATGATAACGGCAAGCAGAACGAGACGGAGACTGCCAGCGGCAGCGGCAGCGGCAGCGGCAACATGAAGCAAGAACAGCAGCCGAAGATGCACTGCAAGTTCCATCCTGGACGGGTTAACAACAAGGTGAGTCCTCCCCGTATCATCTCCCTCTCACCAAGGCCCGATCCAGACATGAACAAGCCTGATCTAACCCATTCTCTAGATCTGGACCTGCTGCTCCATCCACGTCTCCAAACCCCCCTGCTCCGGTGCGCCCACTCATACACCCACCCTGTACGCCCCGGGCGTTCTCGAAGCCCGATGGCTGTTCAAACCAACACCTCATCATCCCTCCTCAAACCAACAGGCGCCCCAATTCCGCTCCATAGTAGCAATAGACTGCGAAATGGGCACCGCCACCGACTTCGAATCCGAACTCATCCGTATATCCCTCATCGATTACTTTACAGGCCAGATCCTCATCGACAGTCTCGTCCGCCCCTTAGTGGCAATGCAACACATGAACACTAAGTACTCCGGCGTTACTCGGCAAGACATCAACAATGCTGTGCGCAACGGGACTTGCATCCTCGGTGGACTTGAAGAGGCGCGCAAACAAGTGTGGAAGTTTGTGGGACCTGACACCATTGTCGTAGGACATAGCGTTAGGAACGATTTATCTGCGTTGCGCTGGATCCATGCTCGGTGCGTAGATAGTTTGCTTGTTGAGGGGGGGGTTAGGAAAGAGATAAAAGAAAAAGAGGAGAGTGAAGATATGGCTAGAAGGGCCAAGGATTTTGAGGAGGGAGTGAGGACGGGGGAGGAGATTGTTGAGGGTATTAAGAGGGAGAAGGAGGAGAGGGAGAAAGAGGAGAGGGAGAAGAGAAGGGTCAGGAGACCGGAGGATGGGATGTCGCTCAAGGCGCTGGCGAAGAAGAAGTTGGGAAGAGTCATTCAGGATGGGGGGAATAAGGGGCATGATAGTGTTGAGGACGCGGTGGCGGCTAGGGATTTGGTGCATCATCATGTTTTGTGGATGATGCGGAAAGAAATGGAGGAGGAGAAGGAGGAGAAGGAGAAGGAGGAGCAGGCTAGGAAGGAGGCCGAGAAGGTGGAGAAGGTGGAGAAGGAGGAGAAGGAGGAGAAGGAGGAGGAAATTGGTTATCCTCGCGTCGTATTCGGTGAAGATGGCAATATCTCGCATATGGATATGGGTCCTCTCTTTCCCGGCCGGCCTGGGAACAACTATCCCTGGATTCCGCTTCCGGGCCCTGAAGATACAGGTAATGGCCCGTCGCGTGGAGTTTAACGTCCAGGTAGCTAGCTGCTTTGAAGAAAGGGAGTTTGGCTCATGCTTGATGCGTCGGAATCGTAGTCTTTACAAAGGTAGCTGAAAGTGCAGGCGGCGTTGGGAGCAAAGCTGCCTGGTTAGAGGTAGCTGTGAAACGCAAGAACGAGCAACAGAAAGATATTGCAGAAAGTGAAAGAAAAGCAGTTGGCATTAAGGAATACGTCTAAAAGCAAATGCGATAATAAATGGAATCATCCAACCAGCAGTGCTACTCGGTGCGAAGCGCGCGAGGCGATAATAGCCCAGAAGTGTATGATCGTTTGCATCCATGCCCTTGTCTTTATGTTCCTTCCACTGTCCCACATCATTGTGAATCCAATAAATCCATGGTCGACCCCCGTGGTTCCATTTCCTCTTCCTTCTCCTCTTTTCCATGTCGATTCGGATATGCATGTCTTCGTGATTGTACTGGGACACTTAGTGGGTGGGTAGGACAACGCTCTTGTGTTTTCTCGTCGTCTTGGGCGGCCTTGGACTTTCGAGACAGTTGCTCCTGGAGCCGTCCTTGGAGGGCCATCTTCATCTGACTGGTTGTCAGGAAGATTGCTGGTATTGGGCTGGGGACTGGGGTAGCAATATGTGCTTTCTTTGTTGTTGTGAAGGGAGTAGGGGGGATCTCTTTCCTTTTGCGCGACACAGGTGGGACATTATGAGGACCTTGCTAGTGTTCGTTATCAGCTGGTCTCTGGGTGAGAGAGACATGGGTTCGTGGCCTTGTCCCTCTCGCAAAAGCCGATCGTGATCCTCCGAAGGTGGTTGCTGACCACGGTGCACGGTTGCCTCGTGCCTTATCCGGTGGTCTTCACGGTAGAACGTCCTCCTGCAGCCACTACCGCTGAAACTGCAAGGTGTTTCTGCGCTCAACCCCCGCCCTGCATGGATCAATTTCCCACGATTGTTTCTGTGTTGTCTGCTACTGATGTGCCGCTGCATGTCTCGGTTGGTGCTTGAGGTGTGGTCGCAGTTTTGCAATGGACATGGGATACGTTGCCCTCTATTTGATGATCATAATATTAGTTTGTCTTCTGTTGATAAAAAGCGGAGGGTTCGCCTCAATCGGCAAAGCTGAGTGTTCCAGAACGGCAGGCTTACCTCGGACGAGTGACGCTAGCAGGCGCGTTACGTGTTGCTTGTCGTGGCTGGGATGGGACAAGCCCAGAGGGGACTGGACTCTCAGAAGGCGTGAATGCACCTCTAGTCTCCTCGGAGATGGTGTTGGGGGTGAGGATGGATTCATGAAAGCTGGTGTTTGTCTGACTTGGGGTATACATCGAAGGATGGCCCATGACATCGCCTTGTCGCTGCTGAACAGGGCCCTCAGGGGAGAGAAAAGTGGAAGGTCTCAGCATCGGGTTCCCAGAGTTCCGGTTCCATGTTTCCGTAAGTGCAGGAGCGTTGGCAACCGCTTGAGGTACCGAAGGGTACCGTGAATCAGGGATAAAGGAACTGGAATCATAAGGGATCCTCGCTGGGTCGCGTGGAAAGTTGTCCGAGAGAAACCCGTTTACATGCTGGGAATGAGAGATACCATTGCCGCGTACGTCGTGCATGGAGGTCTTATCCCCAATGGGGACTCTGTTAGTTTTGGTCCATGATGTGCAAGAGGTATCTAGAGGAGTGGACGAGGAGGCAACTCACGGTAGTGTAACCCCCAAAGCTGTAGTTTGAGCCATGCGTAGCTCTGCTATGTATTCCCCCATGTACTAATGGTCCCCATTGCTCGAGGTGCTCGGGATGCTGGCGAACCGAAGCGCAAGGTGAGTGCTCAACAGTCAGTCAAAGTCGGCGGACAATTACTCTGTGAGGACTAACACATACCTGAGCAGCGGTGATGGGGTACCTGCCCTCTCCTGGGGCTTGTGTGGTCAGAGATGCCTGATATCCAGTTAGACGAAGGAGTGTTTCGTTCAGATTTGGATTAGGGTTGACATCAGGAGTTGGGTAGTCAAACACAGCACCGAACTGAAGCAAATCGGGAGTGGCACTTCGAGGCGCTTCCGTGTTGTTTACTGCTGATGTTTGAGGGATGTGGGTAGTCCAAGCGGGCAAGAAAAAATCGTCGTATTCCGATGTCGCTTCCCCTTCTTCTGCCATGGTCGGCAGCCAAGCTGGTTTTCGGGAAGCTGCCAAGGTATGTGTGCAGAGAGTGCGAGCAGAAGGGTTAAATTGGTGTAGCAGAAGTTGGGTTGGAATTGCCATCATAAAAGACGATGGCTACCCTTTTGTAGCCAAAACCCCCGTACATGAGAAGAAGCCAGGAAAGAAGCGATGGGGCCAACACAAAATTGCATGTCGGATGGAAGATGAGACGCCCAAGAAAGCGGTCCTCACTGCTGACAGTTTCTGGTCATCGCTCCACTTTTTGCTCGATCCCACCCGACGACACCTCACTTCCTCACCTTTCTCACCTTCTTCCACGCCCTCTTGATCTTTCCTTCACCACAATCCGAGTTCCAAACTCCCCATTCCCAACCATTTCCAGTCTCTCCAAAGCTTCCAAACATGGATTGTCTCCAATAATTTACTGCTTCCCAGACAGTTCCACCCCATTCCACATGCCACATCATTCTACGCCCGAAGGATCCTCCTCATCCTCTCAACACTCGTCGGAGCCGGAGCCGGCGGATCGGTGTTCACGCCCCTGCATCGCTCATCGGTCAGCCCTCTCTTTTCTCTTTGGTCGTGAGTGTTGAGGGGGGTACAAACCGGCAAGCATCCTCCTTCCGAATCAGGTCCGTGACAGGCGTGTACCCCAGGCAGCCGTAGCACGCGCAGACCTACGATCACACCACGACACAGCCAGTCAGTATCAGCCGTCCTCGTCAAGTGCATCACCATCATCGTCAAGGCCCTCCTTATCATCATCAAAAGAAAGATAGAAGAACGGAGGTAGTTGCTGGTAGTTAAGTGAGTAAGTAGGTAGGTCAAACGTACACCCTCCTTCCCACCAGTGATACAACCAAAGATCTGCTCCGTGCTCGTTGGATTCAGGAAACAACCGGTGTTATCCATGATCTCCCAGCAGTTTTCGTTTTCTTTGTAAGGGCAGGGGCCGTAGTCTGCTGCTTTGACGACATGGACGCTGACGAGCGCCAGCAAGGAGCCGAGGAGTGTGAAAGTTCGCATCGTTGCTTCGTGGTCGGTATTTGGCTGATATTTGTCACGGTTGGGGGACCGGAGACAAGAATGATGGAGTGACCGAAGCGCAAGCGGGCAAGGGCGAAGAGGGGCGGGCAGTGATGTTATACACCCGGAACCCACCCCGCAGCCTCACAGGGGAACGCCAGATAAGGTGCTGAGATCTTCATGTCCTTCAAGCCAAGGTCGGAATATAGTGTATCAAATCTGGAAAATGTCCAGCGACAAGGATCCAGATGAATGAAGGCCGCCCTCGTTTCAACCGGCTGATATCCCCGAATGCAACCACCTACTTGTCCCACCCTTCTCGGCTCAAGCCGTGTTTCTCCTCATGTAGGCTCGGCACACGGCAGATAGTTGGGTAAAAGTCATTCTTAACCATTGACCAGTCAAATCCGAGCCGGAGGTAACGTCTTGTGTCATCCGTCATCCAGAGAAGGGAATTGTAAACAGAGAGCACCAAATTGACAGTCAAAAGCGGGTTAGGGTTATGTGTGTGGTTGCTGCCTACGACCGGTTGCCTGCGTTGGCTTGGCAGGATTGCCAAGACGCGATCTCAATCTTCACCAAAACAACAAACGCGTTTTTGAAACTTGAAGTATTTGACGTTGGACACTCGCCTACAAAACGACAACGCCTTGAGCAAAACGCAAAGCAATATTGGAGTCAGGTATCAATGGTGTCAGAATCTTGGTTAAAGCAGCAAAATGGTCATAACAAGGCGCCAAAGTGCGAGAATCGCGATGGCGAACTTTGATCCGTTGCAGCTCTACACTGCGTCAAACGATGCGGAACCACACTCGGACTCGAACCCAGACCCGGAATCCTCCGCGCTATCGGACATTGACGAAAATGAGTTTGAGTCGGATGCGAGGCCGACTAAATGTCGGAAGACTGCAGGGGGACAAGCGCCGCAAGCGGTAAGGAAGACAAAGACCACGATCGTCAAGACGGTGAAGACGAGGACGAAAGCATCAGCAACCACCACAGTCAGTACTTCGACCTCCGCCACAACTACTCTGACAACAACAAAAGCCAAGCCAAGAGCCACAGCAGCCTCAATTCAAGCCTTTATCACCCAGATCTTCGAATCACCGCTATCCCAGGGACACGAACTCCCATGCCCCCCATCCCATCCGCATCCATCAACCTACCACAACCCCCTCCTTCTCTCCTTCGTCACTGCCCGCGCCAACCGCGATGCGCTTCTCACCTGGTTCGACTCTGTCACTTACGACAGAAGAATGCCCTGGCGAAAACCTTGGATCGACACCACCGCTCTCCTCTCATCGTCATCCTCCTCCGTATGCCCTGACGATCTGAGGGAAGCTGTAGCTCAGAGAGCCTACGAGGTGTTGCTTTCCGAGACCATGCTACAGCAGACTCGTGTGGCGCCCGTAATTGCCTACTACAGCAAATGGCTAGCCATCCTACCGACCATGCAGTCTCTGGCAGCATCCAACCCAGCGACTGTCCTCTCCCTTTGGAGCGGACTTGGTTACTACTCGCGCGCCACTCGCCTTCAGACGCTCGCTCAACAGGTTTGTCCGCCTCTTGAGCAAGGTGGGTATGACGGACTGCTCCCTCACACGGTGGAGAAGCTGATGCAGCTGCCGGGCGTGGGTCGGTATACGGCCGGAGCTGTGGCGTGCATTGTGTACGGGCGGGCAGAACCAATGGTGGATGGGAACGTTATCAGGGTGTTGGCGAGACAGTTGGGGATCAGGGGGGATGTGAAGAGTAAGGAGGTGCTGAAGGTGATGTGGGAGGCTGCTAAGCGGCTGGTTGAGGCTGTTGCTTGGGATGGGACCGATGCCACTGATGAGGAGAGGAAGGGAAAGGAGCCGCCGGTTAGCGATCGGCCAGGAAAGTGGGGTCAAGGGTTGATGGAACTTGGAGCTACTGTTTGCCTTGGAGGCCTGGCGAAGCCCAAGTGTGGGCTGTGTCCTATTAAGGGAACTTGCAGGGCGTATCAAGAAGGCGTGGAGATTGCTGCACAGAAGGGGCTGCTTCCGGGGAAGGAGGGGATGGGAGCTGGAAGGGTGGTGGACATTGAAGATACCTGCACTCTCTGCCCATCACCAGAAGCGGAAGAGTCTGACAAGGACGAGAGTGGTGCTGGATCGAAGAAGCGGAAGAAGAAAGGCGAGGTGTCCGCATTCTTTGACAAGTTCAAGGCCAAAGGAGCCCGGAGCAAGAGACAAGCATCAGCTGACTCTGACTCGACAGAGCTGGAGCCATCTTCAGCCGCCATGGAAGTCATCACCTCCCATTGCTCCAAATACCCATATATCAAACCCAAGACGAAGAAGCTGCGCGAGGAAGAGTGTCTCGTGATAGCAATCCGTCGGCCATCCGACGGGCGCTACCTCATCCATAAGCGGCCGGCAAAGGGTCTGCTGGCAGGCATGTGGGAACTTCCCAGTCATACGTTGCCTGCTGATTCGGCATGGAGTAATGAGACGGTGGCCATGAGGGAAGAAAAGGTGCGGAAGGTTTCGGAACAAGGATTGAGAGAGGTGGGAGTAGAGAGCTTGGGCGTGAGATACTGGGGGAAGAGTCAGGAAGAGTTGGGGGTCGTGCCATGGACATTTTCGCATTTCAAGTTGACCATGCATGTCTGGGCCGTTGACTTAGCAGAGGGGGATGGGCAGAGTGTTTCAGGCGACTACGAACAGGAGGGTGATGCGAAGGTGAAGCGGTGGGCCACGATGGAGGAGATTGAGGGAGAAAACATGGGGACGGGGATGAAGAAGTGTTGGGAATTGGTGAAGGAGTTCGGGGCATAGCACAGACCCCCAAAAGATGGAACTCCCGTCCTTGGACACCCCGTTGTATGCACTTTCCTTCAAGCATTTCTCTTGAGGTGGCTCCTTCCACTTTCTGCAATCCTCCTCCATCAGCCTCTCTCAATCGTTCCTTCCCCAAAAAGTTATCACGGGGTTAGGGTTGGATGTGCACAAATCTGCCGAGGCGCGATTCTCGCCAAAATACATGACGCGTTCACCAAACATCCACCTCGGACACTCCTACACCACTGGACCAGAACATGCACCCAAGCCTCCGCACCCTGACCGCCCAAGCCATAATCAACCAGACATCTACGACGACAGCAGTCCAGTCTTCCACCGCCACCATCAAACAACAACACGACGCGCCACATCAGCTGATATCAAGTCACACAGAGTCCGAACATGACGCCTCTTCTCTCCCAGACCAGCAAGGCGAGATGGACGTCATTTTCGAGCACGACATGGATGAAGAGGTCGATGATGTGGACAACGAGGAGATCGGCGCGGTTAAGTTCGCATCCCATCACCACTCCACCAATGTCATCTAGTTTAGGTGCCATGTATTAACTATCTCAAACAAAAACTTGAAACAGTCTCAGATGAGGATAAACCCAGACCAGATGCTCCCCAATTCTCTGGACCCGATGGCGAGCTCAAGGCCTGGAAGCCCCGATACCCCAAGGCCAGCCGGGCAAACGGTACTGCCGTCACCACCACGCGGACCACGTGGACGTGGAGACCGAAAACTCCCGGACAATTGGAACTCAGACAAGCCGAAGCCATTGCCCAGATCTTTCCCACTTCTCCTCACGCCCACAACAATATCAGCACCTATCCATTACCTCCAGACCAACTACACGGATATAGCTACCACCGTCCCCTCCTCTTGGCCTTCCCTGCTAGCACCGAATCCCTCTCTCCACAAGATCCCGTAGCTGCAGCTCGCAAGCATCGCGATGCCCTCCTCACTTGGTTCGACAATTACTCCGCAGCTCGCCCAATGCCGTGGCAGAAGCCTTGGATTGATCCCAGTCCTTTGCTTTGCCCTACCAGCACGGACAATATGCCTTTCACCACCGACGCAGCCGAACAAGAAAAGCAAGCACAAACTCTCCAGACCCTTCGCTCCAGCATCCGCCAACGTTTTTACGAAGTCCTCCTCGCCGAAATCCTGCGCCAAGTCCTCCACGAAACCGTTCGCGAGGAGACGATCAAGCGTGTTACAGCGTATTATAGCCGGTGGATACAAGCTCTTCCAACGATTGAGGACCTGGCCAAGTCTGAGGTAAAACAGGTGGAGGAGTTTTTCTTGAAGAGAGACATCCGCATTGTGCGTTTTCACATGACAGCAAGGCAAATCTGCAGCGGGAACGGTACCAATAACCACAAGAATGGTGTTGGGCTACCGACCACGATCGAAGAGCTCCAGAATCTACCGGGTCTCGGGCAGCACACTGCTGGCTTGGTGGCTGCTGTAGTCTTCGGACAAGCAACGCCAATGGTAGAAGTCGGCGTCGTTCGTGTCCTGGCCCGGCAACTAGGACTCAGAGCGGATATGAACCAGAAGGAAAACAAGGAGGTGATCTGGGCCGCGGCGAGGAGACTGGCGGTGCAAGTGGCTTGGGATGGAGTTGAAGTCGAAGAGGAGGCGAAGCGAAAGGATATGAACAAGAGAGGGCACTCGGTTGACAGACAAAACCGAGGGCCGCCCCCGCTAAGTGATCGGGCGGGCCGCTGGGGTCAAGCACTGATGGAACTGGGAGCAACCGTATGTCTCCCGGCGCCAAAGAATCCCAAGTGCGAGTTGTGTCCTATCCAAGCCACGTGCAGAGCGTATGCGGAAGGGTTGGAACTCGCAAGGGAGAAGGGGTTGGTTGCGAAAGAGAAGGACAGCAAGCGAGAGGTAATGGGCATCGAGGATGCGGCGTGTACCTTGTGTCCTCCTGCTCTGCCCAGCGCCAAGAACACTCAGGCCCCTTTGACAAACAAGGACAAGAAAGCCATCTCCTCCACCTTCTACGAACGAGACATGTGGTTGAGAACCGAGGTCGCGGCTAGACTCAGCCAAAACACCGAACCAAGCAAGCTTATTGATCCAACGGTCATGGAGTTTCTCGGTGCTTATTGCCGCCAATATCCTCTTCTTTACTACGGTCAGCCCAAATCCCAAAAATAGGACGACAAACGGCACCGCGCTTCGAAGCAAGTGTCGTTCTTTCCCATTTCAGCAAGTCTTTGAGGTGATGCCAAGCTCGGGCTGTCTTGTCTTGCCCAGGAGGTGTTTAGGCCGAGGACGTTGTCCAGGAGCAGAAGCAAGAACCTTGTTCACTGTTCGGGCTGGACGACGACTGCATCATTATGTCGATCTGAAGCATGGCCACCTTTTCGGTTTCGTACATCATTCTTCATGACTCCGACCGCTTTACCATCGACCCTCGACGAACTCCAGCGTTGATTCACAACAGCCTGTCCAGCTTATGTATCAAGCATCCACAGTCACCTTGAAATGGGCAATGCTAATTTTAGGGTGGAATGGTCAAAGGAGCTCCGCAGATTCAGCAGCAGCAGTTACAGTCTAGGGTGTAGGTCGGTCCATCTTTACGTTGGTGTATCTTGTTCTTTTATTCCGACGGGAGGTAGTATAATAAGGGGCTGGCTGTGATGGATGGATGGTACCAAAATGGCGCGGGCCTGCTTGACAATGTTTCCTTACTGGCGGTCTAGTAGGTGGTAGGAGACGGTAGACGAGAAGGCATAATAAAATGACTCGACATCTCTAGTTCTAGATCAAGACCTTTTAAGCATCAAGAAGATTTTAGGCACGCTTCAAACAAATTCTTTTTTTCATTCCACTCTCCCCTGCCTCTATCCGCATCCGCCATCCTCACCAAACCTTTTTTTTAGCGTCTGTCCTATGCCATGCCATGGATTGCCCCATGTCCATGCCTCCCGTCTTCATGAAAACCTATGCACGTTTGTTCTATCGTTACAACACTGAAAAGAAAAGAAAGAAGAGAAAAGGAAATTAGAGCCTCTGCATCCAACCTACAACTTATGCTCCCACACCCCTCGCTTACCGCACAAACTGGTTCAAGTCCTTCGACTCCTCAAACGTCACCTTTCCATCCTTGCCCACGCTCGCAACCCTCATCTTGACCGGCTTGTTCTCACCAGCTTCGCCATCCTTCTTCACCCCCTCTTCGCGAGCAAACTCCTCATTGACCTGCTCAATGATCTTCTCAGCAGGAGTCTTGGCCTCATCCGCAAAGTCCGCGCTGTTCGCATTCGCAAAAGGAGCCTCAACAGGCGCCACCTTGTCACCAGCCGCAGTCTCAGAAACCAAAGGCTTCAGCTCCTTCTTCTTCTCCTCCAACGCCTTGGCCTCCTTCTTCGCCTTCTCAATCCTGGAGGTACCAAGGGCCTTGCCCACCACGCCGGCTTCCGTGTCAGCGATTTCATTTATGTCGTCGCGGGTCAGGACGTCGGAAACGCGAACGCCGCGACTGCTCATCAGAATGTTGGTCGGGCCACGGAACTGCAGAAAGAGTCTATCGCCCCAGATTGTTCGCCGTGTTGCCGTGCGCAGGCTGTACAAGATGCGTGCGAGGGTGGTGTATACTTTTGTGTCTCGCATGTTGGCGAAGAACTCGGTGACTTTGGTAGGGACGAGCTTTCCGGCGGCGTTGGAAATGGAGTCGGGGACGGCAGGCAACTGGAGGTTGAGGCGGGTGCTTCTGAAGCGGAACGGCAGGGGAGGGTTTCTCGTAACTGAGTATGCCACGACATGCGAAGGATGCAGCGTCAACTCCTCGCCTTCGACCAAGCTAAGTTCGTAGATCTGCCCCGGCGCAGCCAACGCCACCAGCCCACGGCCAGTAACGTGCGTAGCACCCCAATTGGCCGGCGCCAGCCCTTGCTGGATTCTCGGCGAAAGCCTCAAGGTATGGCCCGTCCATGCCAGCAGAGCATTGCGCTGAGCAACCATGTAATCCGTCGTTCCATCCAGGTGTAGCACGCTGAAGGAAGTGTTAGGCGAGGAAGTACCTATTAGCGCGGTGATGGGGGTCGTCGAGCTGACACGCTGGTAGAGGAAAGGAACCCCGAGGAAAGCGCGCGGAAGGGGAGACAGGAGGGAGAGTGTCGATTGGGCGTTTTCGACGCGGCCGGTTACTGAGACCAAGGTGCCGCGGCGGGTGTAGAGGCGCTGAGAAGCGGAGAGCGTGACGGAGAGCAGGGAAGAGGGAGAGCCGATTACTTCGAAGCGGGCGTCGGCTGCGTCGCGCGGGGAAGAGCCGGGGAGGGCGTCGAAGATGTCGGGCGAGGGACGGGAGTCGGTGGTGGGTTTGGCCGAGATCTGGATCGTGCGGATGCATTGTTGGCAGACGAAGTTGTTTCTGAGGTTTAGGTAAGGTGTCGAGGTTCTAGTCAGTCGCGCAGTCCGCGCCGCCCTGACCAGGGGAGACTGGCCGCGCATTGTGTGTTGGATTTCGCAATGGCGGATGTGTATGTGTATTAGGTAGAAGGGACCCGGGTCGGAAGGCGGGATTTGGAATCGGGGAAGGATTCGGAGATGGGGGCCCGGGGGTGGTCGAGATGGGACGGCGGGGATGCGGAGGTTGAAAGTTGGAGCTTGGAGTTGAAGCTCGAGCGCGGATAAAGCGAAAGATTGAAACAGGTCCCGTACAAGAAACCGAATGCAATGACGCCAGGACTGCAATTGGAATTTCCTACAGTAGGGGACACGGACCACCTTGGTTCCTGTCGTCCAATGTCGCAAATTCCTGAGCCCGAGAAATTCCAGGGCATGGACTTGGCCGCGGGGAAGGTAGCCGCTATCGATAAGCTCCGAGGTGCACAGACCAGCTCCCGTCTTCTTGACGGTTTCTGCCTGCCGCCGCCTGGGTATTAGATCTGCTACCTGCAACCACTGTAAAACGCAGCAAGCAACAACTCACAGTTGACAAGCAGCGATCAGTGAGCACAGCAGCTGCACCCCACACAAATGCCCACACTTTGTGCAGCACCATTGCATTGCCCAGTCACTAGCGGTACAACTTGTCAAGAACCTGTGACAAAAAACCACTGAGAGTTGTCGATTGTGGTGCGTTGTTCCTTTTGCTGTTCCCGTTGCTCGGTTAACTGAGCCCCTGTTGGCTCATCCCGACTCCATCAATACCCTCCCTTCCCTTGCTGCGACCAGTTTGCGGCATCCGTGCATTCGTGCAGAAACTCCAAGCCAATTGGTATTCGGCATCCATTGTCACTTGTTCACCCCCTCACTTCAGAACCCTGTGTCTTCCCAACAATCAGATCGCCCATCGCTCGATTCGGCCTTTTGTTGACCGTCTCCTTTTTTATTCCACCACTTCCCGTCGGCTCGTTACTGGTCACTGGGTTGCTTTTGAGGCGCAAAGGCGGAGAGAGAGCGGGCAGCAGCAGGCAGGCCACTGAGACTGGAAGAGGAGAAAGAGGCCATTGCCCAACCCCATCCTTTTTCTTTTTCTGCTTTCTTTTTCTGCTCTCTCACTTCATTTCACCTTAAGAACCTAACCCATTGGGGTCCCCCATTCCACATCCCATATCCCATCCCATTCACTATACCTACCTTATCCTCTATCTCCCCTTTTTGTGGTGTTTGATGTATCCTTTTCGGGAGCCGTCTTGTTTTTGTTGTCCCCATCCCTAAACCCACTCGCTCCTCCTCCTTCATCCACCCCCCTTTTTCTCCACGCGCGTCCTTTTTTTTTCCTTTTATCTTTTTTTTCGGTCTTTTATCGCGACACACTGACGGATTGGACCCATCCAACCTAACCGGTCGACAACCGAACCATGTCCGTCCGTGTCGTCGCCAGGATACGTCCGCTGCTTTCCAAAGAGCTGGACAAGGATGTCATTGTACGCGCCGCCAGCACCGAGGAAGGAAAGCCAACGACAATAGTCAAGATCCCCAACCCCAAGAACGAAACAGAGGAGTTCTCGTACATCTTCAACAGCGTCTACGACCAATCATGCTCCCAGGAGGATCTCTTCAATGCTGAAGGTAGGCATCATCTTAACCCTCTGTCTTCACCGACTGTGTGGCTGGGGTCCAATGGGAGGACTGCCCATCACTGACAAACATCAACAGTCTACCCTCATATCAAGGCCCTCTTCCAAGGCCTTGACGTAACAATATTCGCCTATGGTGTCACCGGTACAGGCAAGACGCACACGATGCGTGGTGGAATGAAGATGGACGACCGCGGTCTCATCCCTCGACTACTCAGCAATGTCTTCCGACGCGGCAAGAAGATCGAAAAGGACTCCAACGGGGAGACGATAGTCGACGTCCATCTCTCGTACTACGAAATCTACAACGACAAGGTATACGACCTGCTCGAGCCGCCCGAGACGCGCACCCCGATGGGTCTGCCCCTACGAGAAAAGGAAGGAAAGACATTCGTGGTCGGCCTAACGGAACGGCCCTGCGACGACGTCAAAGATTTCGAACGACTCTATGTCGAAGCCAACAACAACCGCGTCACCGCCGCCACCAAACTCAACGCCCACAGTTCTCGCAGTCATGCCATCCTTCGCGTAAAGGTCACGCAAACAACAGGGGACATGGTGTTGGAAAGCACGGCATCGGCCATCGACTTGGCTGGCTCCGAAGATAATCGAAGGACCGACAACAACAAGGACCGTCTGATCGAGTCAGCCGCCATCAACAAGTCCCTTTTTGTCCTTTCGCAATGTATCGACGCCATTTCGCGAGGCGACAAGCGCATCCCCTACCGCGAATCCAAAATGACGCGCATCTTGAGCTTGGGCCAGAACAACGGCATCACCATCATGATCCTCAACCTCGCGCCTATGCGCTCCTACCACCTAGACACCTTGTCCAGTCTCAACGTCTCCTCCCGCGCCAAGCGAATCGAAGTCCGCGAAATCGAAAACGAAGTCGTCTACAAGCAGCCACATCGCTCACACAGCTCGACTTCCTTCAGCGGTCTGACCAATGGTGTTCTGGCTCCTCGCCAGCCACTGCGTCCGATCGGCCTGGGGACTCACAATTCCTACACCGGTAGCGCCCCCGCCTTGGCCCGCTCAAGTATCGATCGCGCTGCTGCCTCGGGGGCTGTTATCGAAAAGGCCGAAAAGCCGTCCAAGTTATTCAACGTGTACACCGACCGCGCGTCAGCACACAAATCCTCTGCCTCGATAGGTGGCACCTCCCGATTTGGAGCCGGCCCTCCGCAAGCCAACACCTCGCAGATCCGCCAGCCTTTGTCTCTGTCGGGACTGGCTTCTAGGCGATCTTATACCGACACCGCTACCTCTTCTTCTTCGCCCTCGGAAACCTCAGCTATTCGATCAGGACTCATCGGCACTGGTGCGTCAAAATTGGCTAGACCTACTGGGTTGCCGTTACCAGGGTCGGTGTCAGCTGGTGTTTCTAGACAAAACAGCTCTTCCGGCTCCGGCGGAATTCAGCCCCCGAGTTCCAAGTCCCTGTCGGTCGATAATACTCCCATTTTGACCCTCTCAGCAGCCCAGATCGAAGCCATGGTCGAGAAAAAAGTTGCTGAGATCTTGGCGGCGCGCGCAGCAGCTGCTGCTGCTTTAGCCCCGCAAACGCCAACAAACCCTTCTACGCCCAAGTCGGAAAACCCTCCACCGTCTAATGGGGAGCCAAAGCCGGAAATCAGCGAAGAAGTCCAGCGACGACTTGAAGCCCTGGAAAGGAGGATCGAAGAACAGAGTATGAATGGTACTTCGCGATCTAGTTCCAGGCGGGGACGCGGCAAAGATGAGAAGAATGCAGGACTACAGCTACTGTTGGAAGCGCGCAAAGCGAAAGAGGCGGGACAGCTGGAGGAAGCATTAGGGATGTACGAAGACGCTCTCGGCTTTTTCCCTGGACAGAGGAAGTTGGTGGGCAAGATCGAAAAGCTTAAACTCAAGTTGGGAAAGATTTCGAGAGAGGAGTATGAAGTCAATGCGCAACTTCGTGAAGAGGCGGGGTCAAGGATGAGTGGTACTTCCAAGGGCGGCGAGACAGGGAGTAGGAGTTTGAGCAGGAACAGGAATGGTGGTGATGATGGAAGGAGGACAGCTATGACGGGAATCTCTTCCACCGACCCGGACGGAGAAGGAGAGGATGATGATGACATGGCGGCTGATGTGGAGGAGACTCCCTCCGAGGAAGAAGCGAGGAGGAGGAGGTTGTTGAAGTCGAGAGGTCGCAGCGCTACTCTGGGTGTAGGCATTTCGAGCAGGTCGAGACAGCAGTTGTACAACAATACCGAGCATACGACCACGTCTGCGTCAGCATCAGCATCCGATTACGACGATCACTCACCTTCCAACTCCGACCCCGAACATCCCGAACGAAACCTCGAACCCACCCCCCGGACCAAACAACTCCTGGAAATCGTCAACTCCCGCGACACAGAACGTATCAAATCCCTTAATGGATTTGGACAAAAGCGTGCCCAGGATTTAGTCGACCATCTAGACGGAACCCAAGGACCAAGTGGGAAGGTTAGGAGTTTGGGAGAATTGACGACTGTGCCGGGGGTGGGCGTGAGGACGGTGGAGAAGGCTTATGAGGGGCTTGCGGCTGCGGCGGAACTTAGTCAGAAGTTGGCGTTGAAGACTTATTATGATGAGACTGAGACTTTTTAGGTGAAGTCGGAGAGTTTCGGGAGTCTTGAGAGGCCGAGTCTGGAGATCAGGACTGAGGTAACGAGTTTTGAGGGGAAGGAGGAAGAGAACAAAAAACATGGCGAGAAAAAGAGGCGGGTAGAGAAGAGAAGAGAGAAGAAACAGAAGGCGAGAAAAAGGCGGAGAGACGGCTAGATGGCTAGACGAACGAAAAAGGAGAGCGAGAAAGGAGAGTAGAGGAGAGATGGATGCATTTTTATCATGCATTTCGCGGTTTGCACCACCTAGAGCGAGAGTTAGACCTAGAGCTGGTCCGTTTTGGCTTGTCAGTTTTGCTTGAGGACTGGACTGCGAGGAGTTGGCTTCAGAGAGTTGGATTTGCTTCACGGCATTCATTCAGCATTTATATTGGCGATGGCTGCATTCTTGCATAGATGGCATGTCTGCATGGGAGTCATGCGCGCGAGATTTTTTGTTTGTTTGGCTTCATTTTTGCATCGCGAGGCGTTGTTTTCTCTTTTGCGTCCCTTTTTTTGGCTGGAGGCGATGAAGAGTTCATGCCCCCCTTGGCCCTTGGTTCTATTGGTGTTTCTTAGCACTTAGCATACTCTCATTTTGCCTTAGCTTTAGCATGATTACATATGTCACATCACGTCTCTACTCTACTTTAGATACTAGATATGGGGAGGAAGAAGAGAAGAATGGAAAGAGTTCAATGAAAAGTTCAGCTGTCAAGAAGCGAAGTCGACACAACGACAGTGATATTGATGGGTGATGCGACTTGAAGCGAATGATCAAGTCAGAACAGGAAGGTGATACTGTCTGGCTACCAGTTTTCCTAACCTGTTGGTCACGATATAACGGTATTGTATATGGTTGGTTATCACATCAACTAAAGCGGTGCGTGGTTTCTGCCGCGTGCTTTCCGCCGCGCAATTTGTGCCAGCCGCAGATACGGCGTTGGTTGTAGTACCTATCACCGTCTCCGAGCCGGCCGGAAGGATGCCGAAGACCCCGGACGAGATCCCGGCCGGCTTTCGTGTCATTGGTCACGTCTCCACTAAACTGTTAGGGCATTGAGAACCCTGAAGGTTTGGCTGGGTCTGTGCACAATTGGCCCCCTGTATTTCCTTGTGGCACGCTACAGCGGCACCCGCGGCAGGCTATCGATGTCCATTGCTCACGCTGATTGCATCATTGGGTGCCCCACAATCGCGACATCGTGAAGCTCCGGAGTTTCGGCGGGTTATTCTAGGTGTTGTTGCACGGGGGCGGGAATCTTTCATTCTTACAATACCATTTTGTCTTTTCTTTTCTTTTCTTTCCGTCTTATATACCTCCTCACCGACACTCCCACCCCTTCCCCCATCCATCCCCCGACCACCACGGTATGGGCTCTCTATAAGAGCTGGCGCAAATTCCTCTCTCTTCTTCCGTCTACTCGTCACTCGGACCCCATCTCCGGCCGACTTATACGGACTCGACACCACAACGGCACAACCCCCTTGAGGAGCAGCCAATGCTCCCGGGGCACCCACAACTACACCAACCATGGCGCCGTCTATAAAGCTCAGCACCATGGCTGCTACAAGCCTCCATCGAGCCCATGGCAATTCCATCCTCCTCCGCGGCCCCCGTCTCTGGGCTCCCCGACTCTCCTCCATCCACGCGACACCCACCATCGCCAACCTAAGAGCTTCCTTTTCCACCTCTCCCGCACTTCTATACGGTCCCAATAGCAGTAGCAGCTCCAAAGAGGATGCCGCGAAATCCCTTACATCCGCCGTACCCAAGGCCACCGGTCGAGGCCCCGTCGATCCCCTCGCCGCCATCGATAAAACCGCGCAGGAACAGCGCAAGGCCGACTGGGCTATCATGAAGGAAATGTCCAAATACCTGTGGCCCAAGGGCAGCTGGGGCGACAAGGCGCGAGTAGTGCTGGCTATCAGCTTGCTGGTTGGTGGCAAGGTGCTTAACGTCCAAGTACCCTTTTACTTCCGCGAGATCGTCGACTCGCTCAACATCGACTTTTCTACAACGGGTGGATCGGTCACAGCCGTAGCGGGCGCTATGATCCTGGGTTATGGAGCGGCGAGGATAGGCGCTGTGGTTTCGCAGGAACTGAGGAATGCCGTCTTCGCGTCGGTTGCGCAAAAGGCGATTCGCAAGGTCGCCAAGAACACATTTGGACATCTGCTGAATCTGGATCTGAGCTTCCACCTGTCCAAGCAGACGGGCGGGTTGACCAGGGCTATCGACCGTGGTACCAAGGGCATCAGCTTCCTGTTGACCAGCATGGTGTTCCACATTGTGCCTACGGCTTTGGAGATCTCCATGGTGTGCGGTATTTTGACCTACAACTTTGGCTGGGAGTTTGCGGCCCTGACGGCCCTGACTATGGTCAGCTACACGGCGTTTACCATTCTCACGACGGCGTGGCGCACAAAGTTCCGTCGCCAGGCTAATGCCGCGGATAACAAGGCGTCTACAGTGGCTGTTGACTCCCTGATTAACTACGAAGCCGTCAAGTACTTCAACAACGAAGCCTACGAGGTCGGCCGCTACGATAAGGCCCTGACCCAGTACGAGAAGAACAGCATCAAGGTCGCCACTTCTCTGGCGTTCCTCAACTCGGGCCAAAACATCATCTTCTCCACCGCCCTGACGGTCATGATGTACATGGGCGCCCACGGCGTGTCGACGGGTAAGCTGACAGTCGGCGATCTGGTGCTGATCAACCAGCTCGTCTTCCAGCTTTCCGTGCCCTTGAACTTCCTCGGTTCCGTCTACCGCGAACTTCGCCAGTCGCTTCTAGACATGGAAACCCTCTTCAACCTGCAAAAAGTCAACGTGACCATCAAGGAACAACCCGACGCTAAGCCTTTGTCTCTGACCCGCGGCGGCGGCGAGATCAAGTTCCAAAACGTCACCTTCGGGTATCACCCCGAGTCTCCCATCCTGCGGGATCTATCCCTGACCATCCCGGCCGGTAAGAAGGTCGCCATCGTCGGCCCCTCCGGCTGCGGCAAGTCCACGCTTCTCCGCCTCTTGTTTCGGTCCTACGACGTGCAAAAGGGCACAATCTCCATCGACAACCAAGACATCCGCTCTGTCACACTTGACTCTCTCCGCCGCAGCATTGGCGTTGTCCCGCAAGATACTCCCTTATTCAACGATACAGTCGAGCACAACATCCGCTACGGCAACCTCTCCGCTTCTCCCGAGCAAGTAATCGAAGCCGCCAAGCGGGCGCACATCCACGAGAAAATCGTGTCATGGCGCGACGGCTACCAGACGAAAGTCGGTGAACGGGGCCTCATGATTTCCGGCGGTGAGAAACAGCGTCTTGCCGTGTCTCGACTCATCCTGAAAGATCCCCCCCTGTTGTTCTTCGACGAGGCTACGAGTGCATTGGATACACATACTGAGCAGGCTTTGATGGAAAATATCAATAATATTTTGAGAGGGCTGGGTAAAGAAGGAGAAGAGAAAAAGACGAGCTTGTTCGTGGCGCATCGGTTAAGGACAATTTATGATGCTGATTTGATTATTGTTTTGAAGGAGGGGACGGTGGTGGAGCAGGGGACGCATAGGGAGTTGATGGACGCTAACGGGGTGTATGCGCAGTTGTGGAGGGCGCAGGAGATGTTGATGACGGAGGGGGGGAAGTAAAGGGGGAGGAAGGGGTGAAGGAGGAGGTTGAGACTAAGGCGTGAGGAATGGGGGTGAGGGGTAATGAGTGCGAGTGGGAGTAAGTAATGGGAATGGGGGTGATGAGGAAGGAAGGAGGAAAGAGAATGATGAGGAGGAGGGAGGGAAGGAGGGAGGAAAGATATATAGATGGTACACTTTTCTTGCATAGAGGAACTCTTGGACATACCTACATACTATAGTTTTGCTCTGGTCTGCTGGAGGAGTTCAAAAATCTAAACATTCGAGGTTTTTTTTTTTTTTTTTTTTTACTTTTTTTTTTTTTTTTTTTTTTTTTGAAAGTAAGGTACTGCAAGGTAAGGTCACACAAACTTGTACTATCGTCAAGCAATCTTGGCAGGCAGTTTTAGTCAGAGGAGAAAATGAGTGCTTGTGGAGGAAGAAACCATCTTTCGGCCTTCCGTCCACTCTGGCCCGCGTCTGAGCAGTCCTCCCGAGCACAACACAAGGACTCGGTTACGTTTGGAAGGCTCTCCGCTGAAGACGTTGAGGTCATTGGCCTTGGAGGAGCCTGGGCTTACCTCCGAAGGATCCAGTCCATTCAGACTCCAGAACCAAGCTTACCAATAGCCGATCGTCAATCATCCAACAGCTATGGACGCTCCAAACACCAAAGGGATTGCCATTAAAGGTGAGCCAAGTGCCCGAAAACAATCCAGAACACACGATCCTAAAGTACATGCAGGTACTCTACAGTTCTCTTTACAGGCCGTCAGATATCAGATTATCAGGCGCCATGCCCGCTCGGCTAATCTACAGGGGCATCGCTTAGAATCTTACCGTCTTACTGTCTTACTGTCAGAGTGCTGATGCTTCATTTATAGACGCAGCGCCAAGACTCTGAGAGGTAGGTTTGTTTTATTTGAACCCCTATTTTCCCTTACACCCGTGGCACCCGTCAGACCCGTGCTGTGAGGAGGTTTTGCCGTTGGTCGGCAGTTTTGGCGAGGTCTGGCGAGGAAGGGTGGTTGATGTTGTCATGGTAATATGCTCATGCTCATGATGTCTGTTTTCTCTGGAACATTGAAGGCAGTAGTGTCTTTCGTTCGCAGTGTCTTTGATGTTTTGCTTGCTTGCTTGCTTGCTTGGCCGGCTAATCCCTTGCCTTTGACCTTTTTCTTTGTCGTTTGGACTTTCTTTTCTTCTTTTCTTTTGTTTTTTCATCTCCTTATCTTTTCCTTGTCCCTTGCTTGGCCTGTTCTTTCTTTGGTTTCCTTTGCGTGCTTCACTTTCAAACTCTGGCTGCCAAGCACCCTGGCTCCGAAAAACAGAATAAAAAACTCAATATCAAGGACATGAGTAGAAACAGAGAAGGAGCAATGACTGTCATATTGCTCTATCCGTCTGGCCATCCGCGTTCAAGATCACCCCTGCTGCCCTACGGCCCAACAAGGATGTCAAAGCAGTCGTCCGTCTATCAGGCTCCAGGGTCTGCTTCCTGCTGGTAATAACTCTGTAAAGTGCAATATCAGAAAGGCGTCCACGTCAAGGGTCTAGTATCATCAACCGATAATGGTTGACTGCATGCTTCGCCTCAAGCGCCGCCAGCCTGCCTTAAGCCCTTACCCGCAAATTGCTTACCCTGGCTTGGAAGCTTGGAGGCTCCTTGCATCTCAATACCTGCCTTACCTGCCTTACCGGGCTGGACAATGGATACTAGAATCCGACAGCATCTGACATCGACGGCATCTGACATGAGAACCCGAGAGGATTTATTTTATCCATGTTCCCGGAGTCTGGAAAAGTCTAGAACACACTGTCTCACCGCATTTATATTGCGTTTTAAAACTCAAGGTCGAGATCCTTCCCCGACATCAAGCATCTAACAGAAAGGGCATCCGTGACCTGTTGGCCTGTTTATCTTGGAGGCTTGGCGGAATGTCAGGCTGGAGTGACCTGACAGGCAGACGGGCTAAATCCGACTGACCACTGACCACTGACCACTGATGTTCGAGGTTTGACTGTTGACTGCCGAATGACCACATGAAGGCCGATCCATGTCTCTAGCCAGTCCCTTGTCTCCCTGTTGTGGCTGCCTACAGGTACCCACGGTCCTACGGCAGACGTTGTATAAATACACGACGTACGCACAGTGGTGGTCATTGACTGGCTCCCAGAATCCGGGGAAGCGGGTGCTACAGCTTATACAGGCTGAGTTGGTGGGAAAGGGAAGAAATCAACTGACAGGTCGATCGCATATTCGTCGGACGTCGAGTAACGTAGAGGTACGTTGTAATGTTGTGCTACCCCTGGCTTGCGGCACTTTACGGTAAAGCGAGCGCCCCTTACGTAGGGCTTAGCCGTCAGACGAATGATCAAGCAGGTCCCCAGCTGTACATCCTCGGGTGTGTGCGTACATGGTTCAGTGTGTGTACTACCCCTGATTCGCGCATCACTCCATATCTGTGAGATTCCAAATCTGTCGGCAGACGAATAATCGAGCTCGTCCCCGGTTGTACTTCCGCGGTTGTGTGCATAGAGCGTGTGGCCCCTGATTCGAGCATTACCCTGTGAGACTCCAGATCTGTCAGACGAATAAACAAGCTTCCCTTATATCACCTCATCCAGCGTGGTCATTGGTAGGCTGACTACAGGTCAAACCCTGACTGGAGTTGCTGGTTTCACCGCCTGGCCACTCACTCACTGGTAGCTGTTGGGCTTCCATAGGTGCTCTCGTTAGACGAGTGAGCTGCCAAAGACCTGCCGTGTAAGGCGAATCCATCTGCCGTGCGAGGCGGCGAGCTGATGCGGGGGAGAAAAATAGCTTGCACTCTGCAGTGCCAGGCGAAATAGATTGGGCTTATCTTACTCTTGTCAGCCTGGTACGACTCGGAGCTAGGGGATTCGCTGCTCAGTTTTAAGCGGCGCGGCGGAAGTGAGGCTTGGTAGCAGTCTTTTCTTTGACTTGGCTGATGATCATTGGCTGGGGTATTTTGAGGAGTAAGGGGCGTGGTTTTGTTGACGTAGGGCTCAAGAAGAAACTCCGGTTGATGTGGTCACTTCACTTTGTTCGAGTAAAGAATCCCGAGACATCAGATGTCGGATTGCCTTTCTTAGCACATTTTGATGCGAGTCAAGATGAGTTTCTCTGGTAACCACTTTGGAAAGAGGCAATGGTGAGGACGGAGATGATGTGAGAAGCTATTCCTGGTCGGTGCTGATGGTTATCAACGTCGGAGTTGTGGTGATCGATTTGGAGAGTGCAAATTCCGAAGGGAATCAACTGTCGAAGAGGCGAAGACGAAGGGCTCGACAAAGGTTAGAACTCACCTCAAGACACTCAACTCCACGAACATCGAAGGCTTCGACGACGAGTATAAAACACTCCATCCCATCGCCCTTCAACCCAACTATTTTCCTCATCAGCAACCACATCCACTTCACACTCATCTCCAATCCAAACAACCAAACTAAACAAACAAACCACCTTCCCAACCAAACAACCCCAATCCAACCATCAAAATGCAACTCACCACCATCCTCACCACCCTCCTCGCCACCGTGGCCATCGCCGCCCCGGCCCCCGCTCCCGAAGCCATCGCCGAACCTGCCCCCATCCTCGAAGCCCGCGCCCAAGACCTCATCGACCTCTGGAAGAACAAGAACTTCCTGGACCTCAAGTTCACGGGCTCCGCCAACGTCGGCGACTGCAAGAACCTTCCCTCCAACTTCAACGACATTTCCTCCTCTGGCAAGGCCAAGGCCGGGTTCCGCTGCACGATTTGGGTCGATAAGGATTGCAAGGGCACTGGGTTCTCATTCAACCAGAACCCGGGCAGTGCAAGCTTCCCGGATTGGATTAATGATAAGGCTAGCTCTTGGAAGTGTGTTAAGGCTTAGGTCCTGATTGGGTTGGACTGAGTCCTCATATTGGATTATATGGTTGTGATGGAGATGGAGTAAAGGTTTGGAGGAGGTGGTGGAGAAGCGGCAGTTGGGGTTGGCGGATGATGCGATGGGAAGGAGGTGGTGGGAGTTAGAGAGGTGGATGTTGGAACCCGGTGCTGAGCACACGAGTCGGAGTCGGAGAGTCGGTTGAGAGTCGGAGTGTCGAAGTGAGGAAGGGGAAGGAGCCTGTTCCTTTGCCCTGTCTTATTCTTTCCTTTTCCTTAGATTGTTTTTTGCCCCCTGTTGTTGTTTGTATTAAACCCCCAGCCCCAGCATGCTTCATTCGTTCTTCAATAAAAGGCCTTTTATACATTTTTTGCTCAGATGACTTCGAGACAAGTGATGCAAACAAGGTAGATGAATGTGAAGGGATGAGAGAGATGCCAGTGGAAATAGGTTTCAGAAAACCGAATGACTTTCATTTCGCTTTGTTGTCTGTTGATAATGTACTGGCAGCAAGAAGTGGGATTGTCAATGCATGGAGGAACAGTTGAACCTTAACTGTGGCTAGGTATAGGTAGATAGGAAGCTGTGTATAAATTGAAAAAGGGAAACGAGAGTGGAAGAATCGGGAGATATGATCACTTGATGGATTTTGAACGAGACAGGATGTATTCCGCAATTGCAGAGGTTACAAGAATAATGACAAGAAGATATCCGAAAAACAAGAAAATACCACATTGAGGTTGACCTTCACTTTCACTCGAAAGACAAAACATGTTGAATTACTGAACGCAAGCATGGGGTAAAAGGATCCTTTTGTTGATTGAATGAATGATAGCAGGGGGCATGCATGATACAAATTGGGGTTTTCCAAGCAAAATATCGAAGAAAAGGAAGAAAAAGACTGGACGGGGCAAAGAAACAGACTTCTCAGTTCCCATCCTCACTCCGCCACTCGTGTATCCAGCACTCGCAAGTCGTGACTTCCTCCACTCCTTCACTCCACCTCGTAGAACCACCACCATTCGACTGTCCATCGGCTGTGTGTTCCGCGTCTTCCAGCTCCGTCAACTTCTCCGCTTTGAAACCTTCAGCACTTCCACTTCCACTTCTGTTCATCATCTCATTTTCTTCCCTCATTTACTTCCCTCACTGCACCACTCGAATCCCAACCGTCCGCCCTCAACTTCCCTCCTCCATCTGTTCCGCTCATTTCAACGACCCTATACCTCCACCTCCACCTCCACCTGCAAAACACCTTCCTCCCTCACCCCATCCACTTCTCCTCCAATATTCCACCTATCAAGACTGGAAGTGCGGCGATAAATCCACGATCTCAAGCCCTAACACACTTCCAGCTGCTAGCCTTATCGTTGATCCATCCAGGGAAGCTCGAGCCCGAACTGGTATCGAAGCTATAGCCGGTGGTGCCGGTGTTGCAGTTGGCGTCGATCCAGACGGTGCATCTGTAGCCGGACCGGGCTTTGGCGGATGAGATTCTATCGTTGAAGTCACCGGGAAGGTTCTTGCATTCGCCAACGTTGCCTTGGCCGGTGTGCTTGAGGCCGAGGAAGTTAGCGTCGGTCCAGAAGTCGACAAGGTCGGCGGCGAGGACGCCAGTGGTGGTGCCGAAGGTGAGGAGGATGATGGTGAACTTCATTTTGGTTGGTTGGGTTATGTCTTTGTGAAAGGGCCAAGATGTTTGTTTGGTTGCTTGTGGATGTTCGGAAGCTTGTGATGTTGATGATGCTCATGGAATGAGTTTGGACTGAGAAGCAGGAGATGGACGATGGCTTTATACTTTTTCCCGCACCTTGATCCGAGGAATCAAGATAATGTTGATCAGCGTCTCAACTGCCGACCTCTGGTCCTGAGCAAGTAAGCTGTAACGTCAATGTCAGGCTCGGAGCGTCCTTCTCACAACATCCTGAGTCTAGACTCTGGAGCAAGGCCATGACGATCATGAGCAGAGCCACAAACAAACACCGACACCGACGATGTTGAGAACGCGAGCTAGGAATAGCTACTCACATAATCATCTTGGTCATCATCACCGCTACAATCATCATCTCGACATAAAGTGATTCCCAAACAAAGTTGTCTTGGCTCCCGTCAACGGCAACAGATCAACAATCTGTCGGAATACCGGTAAAGGCAACCCGACCTTCCAACGAAAGGCAATTCCACATATTTACTTGCAGTGTGTAACCACCACAACCCGTTATGACCATTGGAGCCGCGAGGGTCAAGCCTCATCTCCGCTGCACTGCTTCAAAACCCCAAGTAGTACCGTAGCACGAGGCTCACACTTGATAGTTTTGAGCAACTTCAAAAGAGTGAGGTAAGCGAGTGTAAATGAAAGCCTCAGTAATCAACCGGCAGCGGCAATTGCGAGTTGTGGCTTGTAGTACCTGCATCATCGATGTTCTCGACTTCCCCATCCTTGAGCCAATACAGCCTTTTATTCAGAACGACTTCCTCGTTGCATGATGACTAGGTAGGGGGATGAGTTTATTGCTCGACCATCGAACCAGCTTGTGGTATAACGAATGCCATGCGGCGGGATAAAGACAGTGGACACTCGTCCAAGGCATGATCATTGGATGGAACTTTGTCAAACGCAAGATATTCCGAGTGTAAGAGAAGAGGCAACAAACTTGACGGAAACAGAAAAGGAGTGACACCAAGGACCAGGCGCACTTGCACCAGGAGGCAAGAGGTTATTGACCATAGGAGGAGACCGACGATTGTCCCAGTCTTGCCGCCGTTCATGGTTGCCCTTCAGGTCTGAGTGAATAAGGTCGTCTGTGGTCCTTGGTGTGGAATGAGCAGTGTTTGAAGCAGAGTGTTGAGAAGAGCTTCCAATCGACGAAGCATGACCGTCGTACCAGTCATGGGAGAGCAGGTCTTAAAGGCGGTAGGCGTGGCGAAACCAAGCCTCTGACGCTGTTCTGCTTGCGCACCCTCCATCACTCCTGTCATAGGCACTCGCCAACGTGGTCGTCATTCTCCCTGTAGTGTCGGTCGTCGATCCATCCAATCTCTCCCTCACAGCATTAGTCACAAAAAGCCGTTGCCACAAAACAGGGTATGATTTTTTTTCAGACTGTCATCATGAACCTAAAACCAAGGTCAGACGGCAGCAGTCTTCGTATTCGTGCTACAGAAGTCTTGCTTTGCTAACAAATCCGCCCCAGTCCGAAAAAATGTCGTGATGTGGTAGTCCGGATGATGTTTGTTGTAGCGGTATTGCAGCAGCCAGAAGTAAGCTGAATGTTTCCAATCCTCCTTCTTCCGTCAAGGCGCCGCTGCAGCGATAGCGACAGCGACAACAAAGCAAGCCATAGTCGTCCACCAATACGTCTTCGTTGTCGAAGAAAAGAACTGCTGAAGTCTGAACCCGAGTGGGGGGCGATCCGCTTATTTAAGCCTAGAGGGGGGTTATTGTTAGTACGATATCTAGAGTGTGGTTGGCCGAAATGTGAGGTGGTGGTGGTGGTTGTGAATGAGGTGATCGTGGTGCTGGTGCTAATTGTATCGATCGAATTCGGTATCGGAGAATTGCGTAGACGTACTTCTTCTTGGGGCGGAGCTGGTTGGTGTGGCCGCACTTGCGCTTGCGGCAGTTGGTGGCACGAGGAGGGAGACGAGCGTAGCACTTGCGGCTGTTTCGAGTCTGTTAGTATTTCGGTCGGTGATTGCTTGCGATCTCTGCGGTTTGGCAGAGGTTCGTCAGGAAGACATACCAAATCATCTTGTCGCAGTTGAACTTCGACGCCAACTAGAATAGCAACACCATGGTCAGACTTCTGCTTATTCCTCCAACAATGTGTGATCGGTCGGTTGATTCGTGGCGGTCGTCGTTATCGTGTTCATCGTCATGTTGTCGTCATGGTCGGCGTTGTGTGGATATCGTCGCTGGCTGTCCTGCGGCCTTTGTCGTGATGGCCGCTTGTCGCCTTGTCTTGTCTTTTTCGAGGGAAATTCGGGTGTTCTGGGAGTCAACGGGGGCTACTAACCGCCTTGAGGGATGGTTCAATCATCTTGACGGCGACAGTTAGTACTGATGGTCAAATTGGCAATATCTGGTTGTCGCGCAAAACGCACCTTGACGGATCTCGAATGGGCTCCTCGTAAATACCGTTGTCGCTACACTTCGGAGAGGAGGGAATGAGTTTCGCGACTGTCATTGAAAATTCACCTTGTGCGTGGTTAGTCAGCAACCATTCTGTGGGGGGTTGCAAAGCGCACAAGGTTACGCTAGTCCGTTTTGGGTCAGGTGGGTGGTCTGTGCAGGCCCATGTTCCTCTTTTGCCCAGGGCTGGAAGCTTGCTGTCGTCCACTCGGTCACTTGTCCCGCCATGTGCACGGCCACCTCCGTGTTTCCCGACCTCATGTCAAAGGCCCGGTGCCGATCACGCCGGCGTTGGTTCCGGATGGTCCCAATGCCCGTGCTGGACAGTGGCCGCTGCTCTCCGGATACCCAAACTGGCACATTTCTAATACGGGGGAAAGCGTCACTCGCTTGGATGTTACCAACAAAGCTAAACATGCAGCAGGTCGAGGTCTCACCCACTCCCAACCCTCAAACTCACTTCCCGCTCCCGTGAGGCTTAGGTCCAACCCGAAACCATCAATCACCAGACCAACATCTGGCCATGTATCTGCAATTCGCCCAACAGGTAGATACTGAACAACGAATATGACAACGAAGAAAGTCTTGCAAAGTAACCTGTCTCGTTATGAAATGTGCATCAACAAACCGTGAGTGTAGCAACCGACAACCACATCCTCAACCCTCAAACCCTCTTACACTCTCACCCTTGTCCCGGCCCCGGTCCCGGCCAAACCCACCTTCGAGCCATCACACCACACCAAAGAAGTCCACCCACACCACACAGAAGTTCCCCCCTTCATAACCCCAACTCCAGACCCATTCTCTCATCATCCAATCGGGACCATCTCCTTCAGATCCTCTCGGATCTAGAATCGGGTATGGTGTAGCGGTAACATCGTTGACTCTCACTTCTTCAGGAGTGACTGCTCTCTCAACAGCCCCGGGTTCGACTCCCGGTATCCGAGTCTCAATATTTTTTGGCATTTTTGTCCATTGTGGTTCAGTTCCTTTTTGCTTCCCACAATGAACTTGTTAGCAAAAATTGCAGTGCACGGACCCCGCCGGTTTTGCGTGACTGATGCGCAGACGGAAATGATACGAAAAAGGAACATGAAAACAGCATAACAGATGGTTTAATGTTCTTACACCTTTTTTTTTCGCTTGTAGAAAATTGTCCCCAGGATAGAAGCGCACAACTACGGAACGAATACAGACGAGAAGTAAAAAGAAAGATCAGGGCTCGCCTTGCAAATCGCTTTTGTGATGACCCGCCTGTACCGCAGTTGTGAAGCTGAAACTCAAACCAAGAAGCAAAAAGTATAAAAAGAGAAACCGTATTTGCGCCAGCCGCGAATCGAACGCGGGGCCCCATCGATGGCAACGATGGATTTTACCACTAAACCACTGGCGCTTATTGGTTGATGTTGATATTTTCACTAAAGCTTGAACCTATCAGCGTAGTATTGTATGCTACCGTCTTGCATACGGTTGCAGCATGCGGTTCAACTTGCGATCGACGACCAAAACTTGTCCACGTTTGTATACATTAAAAGTCGATTAACAAAGCCCTTCTGTTCAAACTTTCATTGTACGTTATTTCTACATCTCCTTATTATACGATCGTCCTTTGCTAGATACTCATAAAATTCATTGTGTTTCAACATAACTGTTGCCGCTGCGTGTTCTAAACATTTTGTATACTCCTTCCTTCCATCATTCCGTGAGGACATCATTATACCATTTTCCGTACAATGTGCAACCCCTCCCCTCCCATCTAGAAATCATTCATCCACGCTGGAGGCTCAAAAGACGGATCATCAAATGGATCCCCAAACGGATTTCCACCTCCGGGGAAGTCCATGCCTCCCAGGATCAGCTCCGCCAGCTCGTGTTCCGGTATCGCCCCATCAAAACCATGGTCCATCATGTCTTCGTCCATCAAGTCATCATCCGGTCTGTTTTTCATCGAAGGTTAGCTTCCGTCTCGTCTCGTTATGATGCATCCATCGGACGATCGGATTGAATGGTGGGTACTCACACAGGCTCCATATTCTCCCTTGATAGCGGGCAATCGGCCTTGCTCGGATCCATAAAGTACTTTTGGACTCTGGTCGCCAGCTCCGTCGCCCCATGGTCCTCCGGATCACCCATAAACCACTCCTCCAGCTCATTATCGTCGTCCTCCTCGCCCATTCCCAGCGCCATGCCGTAGATCGATACCTCCTCCATCAACTCCGTCTTGAGCTCATACCGCAGCTCCGGCAACAGCTTCCTCCACGAGGTCGTGACGAGTCGCATATCTCTAAGCTCCAACTTCATCAGACTGTCCTTATGTCTGACCACGAAGTCGGTCAACTCCTGCCTCTCCGTCTCCAGGCCTTCGAGCTTCAGCGACTCCAGGTTCGGAAATGTGTGGTTCAGCGGAATGACATCCTGCAACCTAGCAGGGAAGATGAAATCGTTGTCCTCCGCGTGATCCATGAACCCGATGGACAAAATCTCCAAGTTCGGCATATTCTTGACCAGCTTCCTGATAACACCCGTCCTCATCAGCTCCTGACACCGATAAATCTCGTCCATGACGTCGATGCTCATGTTATTCATCTCGGTAGCGTCCGCGTTTTGCAAATCCTCCGGATCTTGGCTGGGCCCAGGCAGTACGAGCAGCTCGAACCTCGTCAAGTTGGACAACAGGTTTCCCATGCTGTGAAACCCAAAGTTGCCCAACGACTCGTTGAAAAAGCTCCAGTGAATCAGCCCTGCGCAGAGACTCTTAAGCTCGATCCGCGCCTCTTTCACAGCCATCAGAATCGCTCGAAGATGCCGCACGCCTTCCTGCCCTTTCTCGCCATCCAGCGACGTCAGACAATCGAGTTTGTCGAAGGGCGTCCTGCAATTCTTAAGCGCATCGCTCTTCGGCCCGCTCCCGCTCCCTCCATCATGTCCAGGGAGCAAACCACCATGACCATGAGAAGACGAACCCGAAGAAGAGCTCGACGAACTCAAACTCCCCAACCGAAACTCAAAATCGCTACTAATCATGACCTCCTTCAAATTCGTCATTTTGCCCACCACCTCCTTCAAAATCTCATAATCCTTGTCGTTGGTAATAATCTCCTCCTGCGCCTGATGCACCCTTTTATACTCCCTATAACTCTCCTTGATTTCGGGCAGCGGTTTCGGCGGACGATTCGCCTCGTCGCACGCGTGGCGAGCGTGCATCTTGGCCCGCCGCTTCTCCATACGCCGACATTCGTTGACATACTGCTTCATGTTGAGACGGGGAGAGGGCAGGATGTCGCACCCGTAGACCAAAGAGCGTACATATCGCGGGTAAATGGGGTGTGAGGCAATGGATCGTAAAGCGGCGAAGTCGGTCGTGTGTAGGTAGAAGATTAGCTCGGGGAGGGCGTGGCAGGCGCCGATCTCGCCGAGGAAACGGTTGGTGAGCCGGAAGGAGCGGACGGATTTTAGGGGGAGGTGCTGGCACACTTGGTGGAGGATTTCGGGAGGGAGGTCGAGGAGGGTGAGTTTCTTTGATTCTTGACCGGACGAGGCGTCTTGCATTTGAATATCTGTTTGTTGTCCATTTTGTTCCATTGTGTTTAAATCGGACGGTTGCTGTGGTTGGTTCATTGTGTCGGATGAAAGATTTGCAGGGTCTCGCCACATCGTAAAGGTCGGAATTGAATGGCTGATGTTATCTGTTTCTTTCGTGCACGTTTCAGTCGAGTGTTGAAAGGATGAAGCTGTGATCCGTGCTTCAATATGGATTATCCATATATAGTAGGTGGACCAAGGAAGGTTGATGGTCCCCTGTTTCGATGATGAAGATGACCGTGAGGTTGATGAGTCTAGAATTTGTGACAAAATGGAAAAATTGGACAGGGATCTTATTTGAGGTGAGATGGAAGAAGGCATATTCCTCGGTGTTGCAGGTGGCTCGTGCATTGTTCTAGCGCCGAAATTTTCAGCCACGGATCCGAGTCATTCCCGCATCTCAGTCTTACAGCGACCAGTCGCCAGCAGCTGGTAGGGGTCCGGAGTGGGTTTTATTGTGGCTGTTAGTCGTTGATAAGGACACGATAAGAGTCAACAAGCCACGGCAAAGTGGTGACGCAATTACCAACGTTACACAATGTAAATTACACGCGGGATCTCCATCTACAGTGGAATCCTGTCGCCCGCAGAAGAATTTCCACTTCTCCGACTTCAAGTTCACCTCATCAACCTCTGACCCCGATCGACACTCAATGGCACTGCCAACGGCATCAATCCAATATTTTCACAAAACCCGCATATTCGGTGGTTGCAATCATTGAGAGTGTGATGACCACCGACCGGTCTTTTTTGTCAGTGGGCGCCACGTTCCGAGTTGGCGTTGGGGCACTGCACTGCGCGACACCTGCTGGCGGTGCCAACACTCGCACGGTGACCGGCCCCAGTATGACCCTCACCGAGGCGAAGAACATCGCTCACAAGATCAAAAGTTCGAGACAAATTCGAGACCCCTTCCTTTTATAATGTTTGCCAATCCCACCGACGTGGTTGAGAAGCTTTCACCATTTTCCCCACATGCTCATTGAAGACATGCACCTCACCCCGGCCCCTCACCAGTGCGAACAGTCCAAAGGGCGCGGAACCGGCAAGCATGGCCGCCAACAAGGCAAGGGACAATGGATGCAAATATCCATCAAAGAGCATCCCTCGGTGACCTGCATGAACCAACAAGGCTTTTTAAAGCCCAACACCTCCGTTAACAGAAATCGATTTTCGTCATTCATTATTCTACGCTTTACAAGCTCTACCACACATGTAGGTCTAGAGCTCGGCGCAGCCCTCCCAAAAGCTATCAGAGCTCCTTTGTCCCAAAAATGTGGTGTACGCCCAACGCTTTGTCCAGCCATCCCGTCACTCCATCATGGAAGTCAAAGACCAGCGCTTTTGTCCTCCCCACAGTTGCTAACATGGAAGTTCATGTTGGTGCTGTCGCTCCTTTGTTGAAGCAACGAACTAAGAAAAGCTTTGAGTGCTGTTAGGAGCTCTCGTTGCCCAAGCTTGTTTTTATATATGATCTGTTCAAGATGGCGTTAGATCAGTCTGCTCGTCATCTTTTTCCTTAGTTCCAATCTCCAATCAATACACTCTGTCACTTGAAGCTTGACGAATCATGGCACCCAGCACTCTTTCCAGGATTTTCCGGGAATTCATAGGCCAGGACTCTTACCAGAGCGAGTACTATGTGTGAGTGCCTGTTCTTTCTGGGAGTTTATTATCTGTCAGAAACTGACTTGTGATAGCGTGCGACAACCAAGCCATCGCCGCCGCTCCAGAGCCCGCTCCGTTGAGAGAACCTCAGGGGAGTCGAGGCCAAGGAAAGAACGTCATGTGCACGAGACGGTAGAGATCCACCGAAAGCCCTCCAAACGCCATGGTGACCGGGAAAAGAAGGTCCGAAAGGAGTATGAGTACCGCTATGAGCTCTTTCAAGACGACTCCGAAGCAGAGGGGTAAGCTGCACGTCACGATCCTCCTCCTCATATCACACTAATCCTTTGATCACAGGAACGACGACCTCAAACATGTCTCCTGGGCTCAATGGCCTGACCTCCAATCTACACTCAATGGCTATCAATACCAACAACCCGAGTATCAGCAGTCGCCTTCCGAGCCGCAAACCGACAATCCCGCCCTCCAAGAATGGATTTCAGCCGAGCTCGCCCTCATCTGGTCCTCCCTCGACCACCTCCAGCAACAACACAACGAACGCTCTGCCAACTATGACCCCTACCTCCAACAAGCCATCCTAGCCTCCTACGCCACCTTCAAACAGGAGCAAATCCAGCCTTTGCTCGACGAGATCGCCCGTCTCGAGAGACAAGGCAAAGACTACGAGAAGCTTGTAAAGGAGCTGATGGGTGTCATCAGGGGATACCAGACAGAATTAAGAACCGTGTGGGATAGAGAAGAGAAAGAAAGGAAAGATAAGGAGGAAAGAGCCGTAATGAGGCAGGAACAAGAAGCCGGACAGCACAGACGAGAGTGGGAGACTTGGAACGATCTCTCCGGGCCTACTTTGGCTGGAGGATTAGGATCCAATCCCGCTTCGCCTACAGGAAGCGCCCCTCCTCCCTACAACGATGTGCAACTACCGCCTGAACAGCCCGCTCCCCAAGCCGTTCCCGGGGTCCCCGCTCGCCCGCCGAAGAAGCTCGAACCAGCGCATCAGCCTCGGGTTCGGTTCGAAGAGATCCTCCACGAAATTCCAGCCCCGCGACATTACGCCGATGATGAGTATGAGTACGGGCCCCGTGACTACCGCCGCAAAGAAAGGGGCAGGGGTCGCGGCCGTGATCACCATCATCGCGATGACCGCCATCACGACAACCACCAACGTGAGTACGAGTACAGATACGACTGGCCGCAGTCTCCGCGGTCTTCTTCAAAGGAGACGCAGCTCCATCGTAACCATGACCGGCAGCCCGACCATACTCGGCACGAACACAGAGACAGGGAGCAGGAGCAACGTCATCATCGCCGGCATCGTCACGATCATGATGGACACGGCGACAGGCGAGAGCGCCGACCCGATGACCAGCTAACGGATTGGAACATCCCCAGCCCCAATATCCTAGCTCCAAGCACCCACTGGGACGCTCACCTCCCCAGTCCACGCTCCCCACGGGACTTTGACGCATATGAACCCAGAACGAGGACCGAACACCGCCCTCGGAGGCGGCACTCGGTTAGCTACTCCTCGCCTTCACAGGCTTCGTATGTGAGTCCGCATTGGCTTCCTGCCGGTGATGTCGATAGGGAGAGTGATAAGCACCCTAGGGGATTTAGGGTCGTTAGGTTCGCTGTCTGATTTCAAATGTCTTGGGTGATTGTTGGTGAGGATTATGGCGTCGGTTGCGGTTCAGGATTGTGTAGTTCGTGCTTCGCGATCAGGGCTAGGGTGGGTTCTTCTCGCTTACTTTTTTGTTCACGTTGTCGCTGAGCTGTCTGAAATTCCTTTGGGACTTCTGAGGCGTCGGGGTGGGCTGCGAGCTTCTTTGTATGATGTTTACGCGTGCGGATGGAACACTTGTTTCTGGGATTCTGCTTGATACTACCAGTTCTTGGATAATCCTTATTAGACGTACCTGAATCTTACAATAACTCAACTTCTGTCCTGTCAGTCAACTTGTCGTTGCTCTAAATATCGTAATTACTCCCCGCTCATGTCCCAAAATTGGCAAGCTGATGGTTTTGTTTTGGCATGGGTGGTGTCTCGTGAGCATCACCAACTCTTGGCACGGAGTCATTTCCCAACATCTCAAGCGGAAGCAATACAACGTCGGAAAAGACCGACAATTTCTCACAAAAAAGGAAATCGTTCCCAAGCAGTTCCGACAACCGAGTGCAAAGAAGGAAAGGACAAAAAGGATTCAAAAAAGTTGCGCCAAGAGGGAATCGAACCCCCACCTCATCCTTGGAAGGGATGAATCCTAGCCGTTAGACCATTGGCGCTTCTTGTTGTACATGTACGCTTCCCCAGGCCTTATGTAGAAACGATGGCAGTTGTGGCGCTGAATGATGGCTGCAAACAACCGTCAACGGCGGCGCCTCAGGTGCACTTACCCCCTGCAGTCTGCAAAGCGGTTGCACCACTGCACCACTGAACATGCGGATGATCATCAACTGCAAAAGCTTTCTGCTGTTCAAGCAATCTTCCGAGCTTCACCGTTTCGAAACATCCAAAATTTGACGAACTAATCTCAAAATGTTAGCCCACTATCCAAGCTGACCGGGACGAGACTGCTTCTCTGGGGAACCTTCCTCCTTCACGCGCTAGGTTGGGAAAACACGCAACTTTCAAGCACGCGACATGAACCGTTCCGCGGTTATTCAACCGATTTGGTCATCATCCTTTTCATCTCCAACTGGAAGACTAATTGCGTGCCAGTGTTTCAAAATGCAGTCATTGTCCAATTGTCTTCCCTCCTCGCGATTGAGGCCACGAGTGGCTTGAGTGGTTTGATGACCATAGGGACACCCAAAGAGGCCCAAGACGGCATAAACGGCTCGGCGGACCAACCCGCTCGAATTGGGACGCGACACGCTCGCGACCTTCGCGTTGTGTATCATCGAAATGGCAGTTCTTTGCCCGACGAACACGCTTCTAATTATTTCAGAGCCTCATATCAAACATCTCACCTCTTGGTGGTCAATGCCATTGGTCTAAACCATCTGTTGGACAGAGGCCTGGAACCACTGCAGCAAAGCCCATGGCCTGCACGATGATCTGCCAGCAAGTATAAGACCTTCAGGATCCCGAGGACACATGTGGACTTCCACCTCAGAAACATCCTAGAAGATCATTATGAATAACACTAGGTTAGATGCTGTGCGGGCCTCCGAATGAAGGCGACTCCATGCCTTTGCATATAAATAAGATTAAGACCTGAAGTGCTGCGAATGTGTCGTCTCCTGGAAATCTCACTACCTGCAGCATTTGACTCTTGCTGCAAATACACCCACCCGAGTTGGAGTAATGTCATTCTCTGGCGATTTTCGTCACAGCATGACACCGAATTGGTCCGCCTCCGGCCCTTTCCAAATAGCTGAATTGGAAAGCGACGAGATGGGGCACATTTCTGACCATATACCTTTATATTTTCCCCACGCCGGCGATGCACCTACTCCAACACTGACTTCTGCACTGGATGCTCAAGGACAGACCGCCACGACATCAACCTATTCGTCTGGAATTCCGACCTTTCCACCCCCGAGCAGCAATCCGATGCAGAGCCAAAGCAGCCAGTCAAACACAGAGTCACATGACCTGGTGAGATGCGCAGAATCTAGGATCCAGCTCGATATGTTCCCGTCCACTAATCTCCGAGTGCTTCTGTAGGGCTATCGGTTCGGCTCTTCCATCAACCCTGCCCTCGTGCACTGGGGAAGTAGAACACTTGGCCTTCCATTCGAGGGCGGAGAAGACCCTGCCCTAGCAGCCATGAGGCATTACCAGAGTTTCGCCTATCCAGCAACCCCCGCGCCTGCGGCATATGGACAGCGGACACACGCCATAGCCGGCGCGGGATATGGTAATGCACATGGCTCAGAGTATCTTGCGAACTTTGCCTCGGTGAGTCCATGTCTTGCATTCTTTCTTCTATGACGAGGAATAACAAGGTCCAGTCCACAATTAGCTTTATTTTAACCTATCCTGCCTTTAGAACGCCCCCCAATGTGGTAGCTAATCCGCTATACTTTCCCCATGGAAACCCTCCTCAAGCAGCTATCACTGTGGGCTTTTCACACAACATCCCCCAGCCCCAATTTCAGCCCAGCAATCTCATGCCTTGGGACAACCCTTTCGCGTTCGGGAATCCTTTGACACATAATCCTAGCCACATGCAGAGCCAGATGGGTAGTAGAGGTAGAATCGACATCCTGCTGAACGGTATGCCCACGGTCACCGGCTCCGGCCCCAGTCAGATGAGCAGTCCCCTCGAGGGTCTCTTCCCTACCGGCGGCCAATCTTCCAACAATGGAGGCTCATGTTTCTCAACCTCGGAGAATTCAGGACCACCGATTCATGTCCCCCCTCCTCCAGAACAAAAACGGCTTCACATACCTCTACCGAACACCGGCCCCGGGTAAGCGTGTCTCAACCACTTACAACTACCTTACCATCGGAGCCGAGCCCACGCTCTTCGAATGTGCGCGCACCGCAAACTGACATCCCTCACCTTCATCACAGAAGCCCCAGTCCCAGTCCCAGCCCCAGTTATCCGAATCGCCGGTCCATCGCATGTCCCGTCTGCGGCCACACATCGACGACCAAACGGGACATGCAGCGACACATCGATGACAGACATGACGACAGGCCCGAGGACTTGAGCGGTACAGGATGGAGCTTAAGCCCCGAGATGACGTGCCCTTACGCCGCGTGCGGTGGCTGCGAGTTCAAGTACCGCCGTAAGGACCGCCTGAAGAGGCATGAGGAAACGGTACATCGTCGTTGATAAGGACATGGAGATGGAATCCAAAGGGAGTCCCGGAGCATCGGCATAAAGGTCTAGCATTGGAGACAAGGTCAGGGCAAAAGCAATGAATGAGTGGCACTAGTGCAGGAGTTCAAAAGAAGATACGTTACTGTGTAGGTTGGAGAGGTAGAAATGGAACTGATGGAATAGGCGTAGCTAGTTTGACTGTTAGAAAAGATCAAGAGATGGAAGTTTTTGGACTGATCAGGAGAGCATCCTCTGACTGCGTAGAGGTATTGATCGAGTTGCCGCCTAGTGACACGTGTGCGGTGCAGGCTCGTCGGGAACTTTCCGGGGATGACGAGCGAGATCGAAGTCATCAATTCGAATGGAACATTCCATTTGTTTGGGCTAGGAAGAAACGCGGGTGTTTGTGGTGCTGGAGGCGTGACTGCTTGCGAGCCACATGTGCATGCACCGATGAAAGGAGAGGGTGGTTTACTGGAAGGGATGGATTGCGTCGTTACTTCCATTTGTCAGGTAGGTAGGCGGGTTTCTTAGGTCAGGTATTATATAGGTAGTGCGATGTTAGTGTCGTGGTTACTGGCTGTTCTCAGTGCAGGCAGAGGGGGTATGGGTAGCGGTAAGGTGGGTAGGTAAATGCGGCAGATGGTGGTATTGCTTTCAGATAAAGGCAACTCTTTGCAAACTCAACTGTTTCTCAGGATACCAAGAATGTTGCGTTAGTTGTCTGCAAAGTATGGGAACGCCACGAGAGGTTCAAGGGGAGGAAATTGACGAGTGTCCAAGACGACGTCGCCTTTGATCTTGAGTCAACGTGTCTGCCAAGACTTTTATAGGGGGCCCGTCACTAACAGATAGCGTTGTTGCACTAGCGTGCGATGTGGGTGTTGCTGCAAGTAGGTACAGGGCATCAGCGTAAACGACTCGGGCCCGAGCCCGCTCTTCCATTTCCCCTACATCGTCACCTCGTCACTGAATCTCACTGCATTGGTGTCTTGTAATGAGAAGAGTGCTCTGGGACCAGAGTCGGGGGTGGACTGGGTATTACGAAATTTTGCACCCTGTCCAATTTGGGGGCCGGGAGGCTACACTAGTCCTTTTACAGAACCCACGTCCTGATGGCTGGATTATTTCCTCAACTGACAGCACTCGGATGAGCTGAATGAAGAGACGGGATGGCAACGTTTCCAGTAGTTCCGGCCGGTCTTTCTAGTACACCAAATATCCCGTGACGGAACCCGGCACAACAGCCTCCTGGTATGGGAGCCGCCAAAGGGACACAAGGCGGAATAACGCTGGGTTTAGCGGACAGACCCGCTCACATCGCGTGTAATCTAGATCGAATATCACCACTCCACTCGGTTGGAGGGCGGCTCGGGTTCTGTTTGTGCACTGGCAGTAACGGAATTAGTTCACGACGCGGCGACCTTTGTTACCTGGTTGTTCCAACAGTGAGGCAGTTATGCCATTTGCATTAATTTGAGAAGGTTGCACGTTGGATATACAGCCTTGTCTCCCTTTTTTTGCGCTTTTACAAGGCTAATAAGCTTCAAACGAGTGATAAGTGACACGATTACATCGCGAAATATGATAAATGACAGAAGTTGCGGCGTAAACTGACAAAGGAAACAATAAGGGAAGTGCACAAATACCTAGGTAGCGGTTTGGAGTCTTTCTCAAACAGGTATAGTCCCGGAATAGTTGATCTAAGAGCCTTCGACCACTCTTCTGCTGACCTTACGCGCCTCGCAGGGGTTACTGGAAGCATTCCAGTAATATGATTGGCTTGCGTATGATGTACATCTGAAACCGAATCAAGACAGAAAAGGCTGTAATCTGAGGTACCTCTACGTAAGTGCTGAAGAGTTCCTCGTCAGCGCAATGTTTGTCTACTTCATCGTGGTCCCCGGGCTCAAAGACACGCCGCTTGGATACCTATGTAACAAGACCAATTCTCCTGAGCAACTTGACGGTTGGGGGCCTTGATTGGCCGGAGTTTGAGATGTTGTCTGTTGAAAGCGGCAACCGCGTACTGTGTCAAAGGGTAGGCGCGCCAGGGAAGTGCACTTGAACAGCTACCGGCCGTGGGTGGCATGAACGCCCGGTGTGCATATCTTCCCTTCCGAAACCTCGCGTAGATAATTGTTAGTACTAGCATTTCAACTCCCATTCTATTAGTGCCCTCACACTTCCTCATTCTAATTCTATTTGCATCTCATTTGCACCTCCACGCTTCATTCCTAGGTACCCCTTATAACTCGGGTTCGTATCAGACTAAATGGGCGTTCCTTACGGTGTAGCTACTGTAGAAACCAGGAACCAGCCTGATATCCTCCACTGAAGGGCCAGGGCCAGCTTGCCTGGCCTCCCCGAGCATTAGTGTCGTAGAGTGGCTCAATTGGGAAAAGAGGCGATAAAAAGCGGCGACCAAAAAGGCAGCGAGGCGCCATTGTGCATTTGCAAGCAAGGGGCTAAGCACCTTTATTTGCACATTACCCCTGAGACGTTTCATGTCCTTCGGGGAGGAGTGAGGAAGAAGACCCAAAATGCAAGCAAACATCCACCCACCCACACACTCACACCAGCACGCGTGAGACTCACACAACAGGCACCAGGGTCCAATATGAAGGGTTCAAAAATTGGCAACAACTCAGACTGCGTTTGGAGGCCGTGTTTGAACACCCGTGAGTGTTGCGTTCCCGGTTCCTCCCACCAACTCTTTTCGCCAGAGACTGACAGGAATGCTAGCGCTATCGAGATCAATGAACCTTTGTACCTGGGCATGCAACCGCTACATGAGGTAGTTGGGAAGATTTGGTGTCTTTAGAGGCGACCAAGGCAGTTCTCCTCGCATACTGCCTCACCTCACGCCGAATGTGATGGGGTGAGAATGGGGACCTTTGTGTAAGGTACCTTACTTTCGTTGTAGGCTGGGGGCTCCGTACTGATGTGTACCGACAACCGCGGGGAGAGGGTCAAAGTGCACAATAGCTCTACAACGTGACTTGGTGCCACTTCCACGCATCGTGACCACGTTTAGTGCCTTTGTGATAATTGCACTAGGAGAATTATACGGGAAACCGAGCAGTGCATAGCTATATTGGTACGTATGTCAATCACCGGCCTCAGATTTTGAGACAGACTGGCCCATTAGCCCGAGTCGTCTTCATCCCATAGCGGCAGGCGTGCATACATCGCGGCCGAGAGATCGTTCGTAAAAGATTACGAAGACAATTCCCGGCCATGGGTGTACCTAGGAATGTGCACTTGTACAATTGATGGATTGTGAGAAAGCAAACCGTTGGATGGGAAACCTGAAAGGCAACGAAATATGTGGGTTGACTGTGTTTGTAACGGAGGCAGAGTAAACAGAAAACCAGGGCAGCCTGAATAAGGTACCCAGAACGGGAGTGCCACTGCAATGAATGGACGTCAAGACCAAGGCATGACCCGCCAACACAAACAGAAACAATCTATAGATGTGCACCTCTGACATTGAAGGAGGGATCTGACCAGGCCGGAAGAGCCTGCCGTTCAGATCTTGACTGAAAAATGTGGAAGTTGCTTGATGGTAGGTAGGTAGAGCAGGAAGGTCCAGACCAATGGTCGCGCCGGGGCTAGGGAAGGTAACAACAGGAAGCCCCCTGAAGGATGTGGGAGCTGTGCAATTTCCTGAGCTGAGTCTCCGATCAACCTCTTGATGTTAGCTCAAGTCGCTGCTTCGGTGGTACCTACCTAGGAAGGGAAGGGTGTACGTACGTACGTACCTACCTTCGAAATATCCAGTCGTCATAAAAACGCTCGATGGGAGGGAAGGCACAACTGTTCAATCCGACACGTCACATACTCGACTGTCCCAAGTCAAGTTCAAGTCACGCTTTAATCAACGCACGGGATGAACTAAATGCATTAGATTGCGTTGACGTTCAAAAGCATTCGTTGCAATAGGTTGGAGCACGGAAGATAGGTAGGTATCTACATGTCCAGCCCGTCTGTGCAAGTTCCGGACAAACGATTTTTTTGGTGCATCGTACGAAAAACGAGGGCCGGTATTTTGCATCTTCAGAGGCCAAGGGCTGGTGGCTCGAAGATGGGGAAGATTACACACGCAAGGGTGACTTAGGCAATAGGATGCGAGAAATACCGCCCAAATCTCAAGAAGAAAAGGGCATCAACCGCAAATCAGAGAAGAAACTGGAGGTCAGGAACGGCCTTGAGCAGAATTTCAACTTCTCGTGATTTCTAGATTATAAGAGCAAAACAAATCCATCGTCGTGAAGGTTTGGCCGTGCCCTTGAGGCCTGAAGTACAGTGTTGTTGTTTTGGGGTCATTTATCTCGTTCGGCGAGGAGCCTGTCAGATGGTTGGGAACATTGGAATCGAAGCCAGGTGCACTGAAGGGCTTTTCCGTGACTTTGGTTTGTCCAGATTTTGTCTGTGGGTACCGATAGAGATACTTGTGGCGGAAGAATCTTTTCAATATTAATGGGTAGATCGCAGATCCTCCCCCAGGTACCTGATCTTTCCCCATGTGCGCTGTACGGGCTGATTGCCGGGTGAGCCTCGGCCATCACATACATCGTGTGTAGTGCGAGAATCAGCACGCACATTTAGGTCGTTCTCCGTTTTTGTTGACATCTTGTAGGGCATCATGGTCAATTTGCTTTTCAGCTTTGCCGTCAAAACCAAACGAAAAGATTCAATCATGAGTCCATAGCGTTACGTGGATAGAGGCAAGCCCCAAAGTAGGCTCCCGAGTTGAGCATCATGGCCTCCAAACAACCATCCCGTTTGGTGCCTTGAGTACTCGAGGCCCAAGTCCCATCGATCTTATAAAGTCCTTCTTCATCGTGGCTGGCATTGGAGGTATGTTTCGTCCTCACCCATCGATGCGTTGTTCAGTGCCTGAGATTCATTTAAACCGCAAGACCGAAGCACAATCTTTGAACTTGCAATCGTCTCACGCTCATCTGCCTGCTTCAGCACAAGAAGGATGAACAACTCTGCCTTTCCGGAATTCGTACGTCATTCTCACGTCTGCCTTTGTCTTTCCAGGGGTTTTTCGTCCTCGTTTGGTCAGGTCTCGAAGCGACTGCTTGAGCCATGCTTTCAGATGGCTGCCTTCAAGTCCTGGCGAACAGTGTGTTGCAGCCCTTGGGTTTCTTCGGATCTTTGCTAACCCCAAAATCTCCTATCCAGAACTATAGCCATCATGCATTTGTGGATCCAATGCTCCTAGCTGACAACTCCGGTTTCCAAAACACATACAGCGTTTTTGGATACTGTATGCCGGACGCAGAGTGGGCTCACAACGGCCACCTTTCCGACCCGACCGGCCTCCTTCACCACGAGGCTTAAGCAACGTTATCTTCAACGTCGGCACCCACTCTCGAAAGCCCCGACAGACGCGCTGGGGTCGACCTCGGATCCCAGGCCAGGAGCGACTCACTTAAACGCATCACTTGTAGCGCCTGCGGTACGCTGTGGGCGAAGAGCAAGAAAGACTTCGAACGCCACGAGGGCACAAGAAGACGCCTCAAGAAAATCGGAAAACCTGAAGAGGACAGCGGAGCAAAACGCTTCCATTGTTCCGTTCTGACCTGCAAATATGCGGAAGAGAAAACCTTCACTCGGAAGGAAAACATGAAGAGACATCTCAGGGATATACACAACATCAAGAAGGACTAGGGGAGGTTTGATGAATGCTGAGGGGGGGGGGATGGGGAGGCCAAAGCCACCTGTTTCACCGCTGTTACACCAGTAGCCGTCGGCGGGTTTAGGGCTACCTTATCAGGTCTAATCACCTAGCTACCCAATCTTCATGAGCCCAGTTTCTGTTAGTCACCGCTAACGATCTGTCTTTCACAGCAAGCTTTGCGTCGCCTTATGTAGGAATCCTATCCAATGCAACGGATCACCCGACACGTTACATAAAGGCCTTTGTGTACTTGTAGCCTGGAATTCCCGCCTGTAGAATAATCCGTGCACCGTTCCTCTGTTTCTTTCCCACTTCCCACGCAACAGATGGTGCCAAACGCCCATCTTTTCACCTTCATTGATTGACTCCTCATCTATCCTCATTTCATCGGCACTAACCCGCAATTTCTTCTCCTGTTCGCGTTTTCCCAAAAGCGACCGACTCTCGATGGAAAAGGTTTCCTGGACACAATCATGACACCATCAATCGGATCTATCTCGACAACTGCCCGTCCTCGACAGCCCGCCGCCCGCACACCATTGCGATTACAACCACCTAGGATGACAAACAAGCGAGCTGAGAAAGATAAGCTGGAAATTCAATTTGAACGACTGAGGTGCAAGAGCGAAGACGAATCTGGCAAACTGATATGGAGGGATGAAGGGATACATCGCGCCGGACGTCATAACGCCCCTTGGTTATCTCGACATCATGTCCGCTTCGGAAAGGCCCCAACGCCTATAACCCAAATAACATCGTTAAGACATGCGCGCCACACATAGACAAGCATATGTCTCCCAAGAACCGAACCCGACGACCGGCCCCCCCGATATGGCCTTCGATTTGCGCCCGATGGACAAAGAACAGATACATCATGCAACTACACAATGATGGAATTCGACGGGAAGGTCCAGTCAAGTAGGACTGAAACTAAAGAGTAACCGATTGAGACGAGAAAAGGCGCGGATACGGAACAAGTGGGCTGGCAGGCCCATAGCGGAGGACGATCCGAGAGAAATGTTCTTCTCCCCCGAACTCGCCGCCATCCTACCTGCTCATCTCCATACCATGCACCTTCTTGATATGTCTCCACAGGTTATCCTCGCGAGACAGCATCCGCCCGCCGGGAGTCGTACGGTGGAACTTGCAGCCTGTGACCGGGCAGTGAACACCTATGCCGGAAGGACCAGCGCTCGGGGCGCCTCTAGTCACGTTGAGTTTGTGCTTGTTCGTGTTGAGATGACGGTTGTGATCGCGTCTAGTCTTGGAGAAGATACCGCAATCTTCGCAAGCGTAGCGAGCATTACGGGGACTGACGCTGCGAGCGCATGGGTCTTTGTCCTTTGCTGGAGATGAAGGAGTGGGGGGTTCAATAACTGGAGTCCCGGCAGAGATGGGCGTCTCTGGTGGCGGCGGCTCGAAGAACTGATCAGAAAGAGGTCTCGGACCAGTGGTCGGACCATGGGACGGCAAGGTTTCGTCCTCTTTGAAGCTCGGGGCATGAGAGCTGTCGGGAGAGGCTCGCTGAGGCCAACCATTAGGTATGGCTTTGTATTCGGAGGGCGAAAGGTTGGGAAACAGGGAAATCTGTTGGATGCCAATCAGGTACTGAGATGATTGTGTCAAGCTGTTAGCTGCTGTCACCACATGTCCCTCTGGTGATCTCATTGCGCAAGAACGTACAGGGCTTGCCATCAAAAGCGTTGGATCGATGGACTCTTGTACCTCCTCATACATCTGGCAAGATGCATTTAGGCGGTCGCTATTGTAGGCAATGTCACAAAACGGAACCTGAATGTTGGGTTCAACGCTCAAGACGGACTTGACGAGGCTACCGTCATTGACAGGGGAGCTGAAGGCTGGCACCGGGTTACACTCCATTGTGCTTAGGTAGGTAGGTGGGTAGGCTTGCAGTAGGCTTCGTGACTGATGCTTTTTGCAGCTACATTTGATCCGTTAGGAGCGGGCAAGTGTTCCTTTTCTATTCCGCGAGCTTCGCGGGTAAATGGGGAAGAAAAAGAGGCCATGCCTGGTCGATCAAGTTTGGGCACAAGGTGGCCGACATGGTGGGTTGAGTGTTGAGGGAAGGCCGGTGAATTGTTCAATTCTGCGTATGACGAATTATTGTCTTTGGACGAAACCTCAGAATCCCGCTCAAAGGCTAGATGGTTTAGCCTCTCTTCTTGTGTTATCTTAACCCCCTTCCTTTTCTGGGCGTGCCCCTAGGCCTGATTGGCAACCTTGGGAGCAGTAGTACGGAATCTTAACTGTACAGCTTGATCATGGCCGAAATGCCGCACGGCTTTGTCATCACTCACGAATTCTGCCTCAGATAACTCTACAGCAAGGTATACCCAAAGTATCGTAGTTGGTGAGCTGGCAGTCGAAATGGTGGTAGGGGACGGCTTGCTATTGGCCACAGGCGACCTAAGATATGCAGGCTGATGTCCTGCCCCGAGAACGTTATTTCTACACCCAGTCATCTTAAAAAAAGTGCATTTCAGGAATTTCTATCCCTCCCGCGAAAATATTTTTCTTGGCACCCACTGTTAGTCGGTTATTAGTGGCCGTGCTAGGATTACCCTATTTTTGGTACAATAGATATCGGTGGCCTAACCCACCACTTTTCTATCATTTCGAACTCGGGAAGATACATTCGAAACTACAATCACGACCACGACGGCGGCCTTTGGAGAGTTCACCGCCGTCTCGTCCCCAGCCATAGCTTTTGAAACCGAGCTGTTCAAAAGCATCTTGAGAAGAAAGAGCGCCGGAGAGACGAGCGACAACCGCTCTTCGAAAGCCTTCCCCTTAGAACGCCGCTTGCTGGACCCAAAACGGCTGGGCCGCATTCTAATCGGAATTTTCTTCTCAACCTCTTTTAATTCAACATCGGAAAGGAAGGCGTTCTCCTCGGATAATATCCACTTTTCAAAATCTCGCAATGTCGGGGATAGCTTAGGAAAAGGGTCTTCCAAATAGTTTTTCGAAACTGCACAGAAATTAGGGGTTTTAACGCAAAGCCACGCCACGGTCCGACTTGGCTGACCGATGCTTTTCCCCCGCACTTATGTACCTATGCCCAGCCGCCGTCGCGGGCACGACTCATTATCTAGTATTGGTAGAACTCAGTCGAAAAATTCATCATTCATTCATTCATTCATTCATTCATTTGGATGACGTTAACGGACTACGTTCCAAGATCGACGGTGCGGACCGGGCCGTGCGGGCACTACCGTCCCGTTGATTATGGTTTCGCATTTATCCGCGGTTCCACCTCTTTAACTATGACAACTCTGTCTCCTCGTGTCCACCCGCTCGTGTCCGCCGCCATTGGCGCCGCCCGGAGAACGACGATGGTTTCAATTCTATTTCGCGCGTACGACTATAGATGGGCAGCTGTCGGACTTTCGGAGTCGAGCGAAGAATAGACCGGAGGGCCACCGTGACCGGGCGTTCGCTTGTTTGGAACCGACTTGTACCCCGGAGATCGCGGTCCATTGCGACGGAGAGTGCCTTCGTTATTTTCGCGCGAGTCGAGTTTCAATCGATCAGGACCGGACGTGTTCGCTTCCTGTTCGCGTGATTGGAATCGGGGAGTTGACGTTTGATGGCGAGGTGAGGTTGGGCGGTTGTTGAGGGGTGTGAGGAGGGTGGCGAGCGCTGGCATTGGTTTTTTTTTCAGCGGTTCAGGGGAGTTCCTCGGCGTGCGTCCACTAAAGACCTTTCACCCACGAATGTAGGTCTCTTTGTTTCCCGGTGTGGTGTGGGATCGACACATCAGCGAGCAGTCTGAGATCAAGGATGGAACGAATTGGAGAGTTTGACAATATGGATAGGGCTGAGGAGGAAAGGGAAAATCCGAAGGAGCTGACAGGTCCTGAACTAAATACCCGAAAGTCGAAGAAGAAGGTGGGCGACGAATACAGCGGTTACAAGTGCTTGAACATACATCATGGATTACCTGTCGGCGGGGGACAGGAGGCTCGGGGCGGGGAGGCCGGCGAGGGCGGCAGTCAAAAGCACTTGTTTTCCCACCTCTGCCTGTGCTCCCAACGGACAACAGACGCTTCTGGGTTTGGTTTGGACGAGTGTTCCGGCTATAAGCCTGCTTCGCACCACTCAACAGGCTCTACAATGGTCCCGGAAACTCACAGATTGGTTCTCACTGCACCAGCCAGTGAGTGCTCGCGCCTCTCAGTAACCCGGTTATCAGCGTCTCTTCTTTTACCGTATAGAGGATGGCATGAAGCTTCATCCACGATAGTCCAGACTCGCGCCTCTCAGTCAGCCGGGCATAGACGCCTCTCCTTGTACGTTGTAAGGAGAAGTATAAAGCTCTCTTCCCACCTCACCTCTTACCAAGAAGCTCTTCCACAAACTATCAACCATTCAATCTAAGAACAGAACTAAAACTATCTCGCTGATTTTCCTTTTTCACTTTACCGCAATGCTCAACAACTTCACCTCGAACTCTTCGTCTTCCGGCAACGGCATCGGCGCTGATGATCATCACCTAACATTAGATGCCGATATGAGTGGCTTCGCGCCACCCATGGACAGTGGCCGCAACATCACCCTTCTGGGTCAAAAGCTGTCCCATCGCATCGGACAAGTGCAAGAGAACGCTCGTGAAGCACGACACATGGCTGGAAATGTACGTCCTTCAAGCATTCATGATATTTACACCTTCCTGCCATCCTCCTTCCCATTTCTTTCTTCTCCCCCCACCATCCACACTGGTGCAAAGTCGCGACCACTAACTCATCAATCTGGTTCTCCAGTCCTCCACCGAGCATGAGACTCATCCCTCTCCCTCGTCCGCTGGTGTCCATCGGTCCGCAGGACATGTTCCAGAGGTATCCGCCTCAGCGTGGTGTTCTCAGGAGTTCCCTCCTCTGAAAGACTACAACGGGGCCTACGAGCTCCACGCAGTTTGGGCCTCCGAGGGCGAGACTGACGGGCAAACCACCACCAGCGAGGGCATGGCAAGCCACACCGTCGTGGACCAAGCTTCCGAGCCCATTTACAAACCGGCCGCGCCTCATGTCATCGGAAAACCCCAAGCTGCTCCAGCGGCCGATTTTCAAACTTCCTCGTCCAACACCCGCAGCCCCCGCTATACCTGTGTCGCTTGCCAGTTCTCTTCCAACAACCGACGCGACTACGAGCGTCATCTCAACACCAACAAGCACCGGACCATCGCCATCATCAACAGCGGCCACATCGATGGGGTCACCGCCGGCCCAGACCCCAGCGTCAGGAAATTCCGTTGCCCGTTTACAGAATGTCGATACCATCGGGAGGGAGAGAGGATGTTTTGTCGCGAGGAAAGTCTGTGGAGCCACATGCGGACGGTCCATAGGGTCCAGATCATGGCGCGAGTAAGGTAGATGACGAGTGGACTGAAGCTCATCTGGCCCTCGATACACGCTTTTACCGCTTCTTGTCGTCATGCCCAAATCTCTGGCTCTTTTATCTGCTTGCTGTCATCTCTGGCTTTTTTTTGTCTCTGTTTTTCATTTTCCCTGTTCGTTCTGGATTTTCGTTTATTTTTCTATAACCCCCACGGCATAGCCGCTTGTACTGCAGTAATTCTTTTATAAGGTGTGGGTCCGGGTTGGATAGAGAAACTCTTTGTTGGATGGGGAAGGTCTTTGTTAGACAGATATAACCATCATGGGCGAAACAAGCCTTTTTTATTACCAGTTGTTCGGTTCTTGAACCTAAGGAGTGTCCATCAATGTTAAACCCACTTCATCATGTGAAACCTTTCTGGATGATGTCGTTCTGCCACTGGCGTCCAGGGATGGTGGTGGTGCAAAGTAGCCCGAACCGAGGAGCTGGCAGTATCCACGACCCGTCGTGTGCTAGAAGATCTAAAAGCCATTGCCGGAACTTCTTGCCCAATCTTTCTGCCCTTGGTGTCTCGGTCAGCGCTTCTGGAGCCAGAGTCTCTCGCATTTTCCGGTAGTTCAACTCTCGGACGTCGACCAACGGCTCCCACGGGACGGAGGGTCAGACACGGGCCGGGCCGCGGGGGGAGTGCCGTCTCCACCCCATCCGCCTTAATCTCCCGAGCCGGTGATCGGCTTTCCTGGGAATGACAGCGGCTTCAATCGGGTGTCCACGTGCGATCTTGGCAGCGTAGTCACTGGTCCTCGTCGGGATTGAAGATATGATGTAAAGTCTTCGTCGCAGGCTCTGCGTGGCATTCGCTTGTTTCGTTCAAACGCGCAAAGGCCGCGGGGGTCATGCACGGTCATCGCGCCTGTGTGGGCAGGCATTTCTGCGGCGAAAGTCAAGCATAATGTGGGAAGCCGTCGGGACTGTTGAATGGCGGATTTCAATTGAAGAGCTTTGATGTAGTTGGATGATTGACGGAGGTGAAGAGGTCGAATGTTTCGGGAGGAAAAAACGAGCAATGTGGGTGGTGAGCGCCGAAGTTCGACTCTGTGCCTGCAGTGGTTCAGTGGGTTCCCCACACGTCTCCGCTGCATCGAGTGGAGTGCTACTGTGTACATACCCCACTCTTGCCTCGGGCTGCCAAGCGCGACCGTTCACGTGATGACAGGACGGAATGAGATGTTATTACAGCTCTAGGTATTGTTATTTCACTCCAAGTACCTACTATAATCTTGCTTTATCCTCTCTTGTGGGTTTCGTCTCTCCACAGCTTCGCCTCCATGATTGTTGTATAAACGTTTGAAACTTTCGAGACTGACACCCGGGTAGAGTTCTTCCACAGTTGTTCTATATGTATCTTGCGTATCGCAAGAGTAAAACCGCTGCAAAGTTCTTGTTCAAATATCACCACCTAATGAAGTACACAAAACTATGCATCGTTCAACATAATCTCAGGGACACGAGGTATGTGTTCTTCTGCTATTATTCCACCATCCATAAGCAGTATCGTCTCATTTCCCTCTTTGTCGCTTTCTTTCGCTGCATCCTTTGCTGTAGTTTTTTATTCCTCCTCTTTCCTATGCAAATTCTGAGGGTTACAGCTATCCAGTAGGTTTTGCCGTGCCCGGAGGCTTCACCACTTCTACCGAATGGAGTTGTGGCTGTCAGCCTCGCCAACGGGTATTATTGAAGAGCAGGCAGGAACGGACCTGTGGGGAAGCACAAAGAAAAGAACAAAAAGAAGCGCTGACGTAGACGCGGAGACGGGTGTCCAATAGGAACGGAAGAATGCGATTCTGTAGCCTCGAGGATCAAATCAGGACGCACCGGTGCCAGCTTCATGTTTCACTGCAGGGGGCAGTTGCAGATTGACGGCATTACTATTTGGAGCAGCCTACATCTCGCCGGCGAAGTTTGGTCGACACTTACACCACGAATTTTGAAGGCTCTCCGAGAATGAGTTGGACATGTCCTCTTTTTCTTTCCCATAAAGAGCGCTGTGCAAGTGTGTTTGCAAAAGTTCCAATCCCATCTCCTTTTCTTTTGAAATATGTCCGCAGCAATACCGTCTTCTCAACCAATACCGAGGTACCTCTGAAGCAACAGCCACGGGTGTTTGGGTACATCCAATCAGCTCGCTATTTTCTCAACCTCACCGCGCAACGTTCCGATACTGAAAACGACTGGTATCTTTGGATGCTCCTTTGTATAGTACTCTAGACTTTTGATACATACTCTTTGTTTTGATCAGCCTTATCCTACCCAAACACCATGAATTCCGAGCATACGTACATGCATCATGACGGCGCTGTCATGAACCACACTCCAAACACAACGATGCACGGGGTGGTCCCAGGTCCCAATCATGAACCTGTTGACATAGATGGCATGGTATGTATCTGAGTGTGGCTCTAAAATTTTGCTTCCTTGCTAATTTTTCTGAGGCAGTTCCCTAACCACGAGTGGGCGCAGCTTGATTTTCTTCAAGGATTTGATGAGAATCCCAGAGAGCTTCCCCAACCCACCTTCAACGAACACCCACCCTTGCACAACGCCAACCATGCCCCACCCGAGCCCTTGCTGGAGCCTCCCATGGCTGCCGAGCAACATTCAAAGCCTAGCCCGGTGAGCCCGGGTACCAATGGTTATCGCTACACCTGTCAACCGTGCCCTTTCTCCTCCAACATCAAGCGCGACTACAATCGGCACCTCAGAACTCACAAGCATAAGAAGAACACGAGGATCCGTGGCAGCAATAGTCCTTTGGAACCAATTGAGTCAGATACGACGGGCTTTCATTGCCCTGTGCTGGGTTGCAAGTTCGGTGCGACCGGGAAGATGTTCACTCGGGAGGATAACGTGTGGAGACACATTCGGCAGGTGCATGATATTAAGAAGCAGCTATAATGCCTCTCACTACTGCACTCTGCTTCATTCCGTGGTTGCGTGAATGCCCTTGCACCTTGCACCGGCTGCAACATAACACAGAACATTCCTGTCGGGTTCCATCTTATGCCGGGGTACCTGTACCAATGAGTAGGGGAAATAAGGTAGGGGGCTGTGCTGAGAACGTGGGGTACTGTAACGGTACCGTACCACCCTGCCGACCTTGGGAGCTTGGGCATGGACAAACCTTTTGACGAAAAGGAGTTGCACCGGCCTATTTACCTAGCTGTACACAGCGTTGTCGGTAACACCAGGTACAAAGCTACCTACTATCTGACAGGGGTAAACATCACATAATTATGCACACATACACGATGGTACTTATACAACAACAAGAGCTGTTGCGACATACGCGAATGTTCCATCTTCTCAATCCCTGCCGCTGAGGGCATCATATCACCTCTAACAATGGGCACTGTTGTCAGTGAGGTGGCAGCTTCTGGAAGTTCGTTACAGGCCCACAAGTCCACAACTCCATGAAAGACTTGGCACTAAGACACTATCGCAAAATTCCCCTGTCCACACATTAAGTTGGGAGTGACATGTTAGCGCATCATCTAAGCAAGCCACCCGCGCTCAAGGCATGCGGCAACGATTTGGGATGCAAATCCATGTTCGTGACATAAACCAAAAGAGGATATTACAGCCAACGCTACCTATAAATACAATTCACCAAGTGCTGCAACGCTTTGTGCGCAGTATCGCTGTACAGTTACTAATGAAAAGAAAATATCTGTATCTGACGCAAGGTTCTAAGAAGGAAAACAGACAATCCAAGATGTGATGATATCAGTAAGAGAAGAAAAAGGAAGTCAAAAGGAAAATTGTGCCGAGGAAAAGAAGCAAACAAATTCAGGAGTATAAGAAAACCAAGCATGCTCCAACCGTGCCAGTCATGCACACATCACAAAAGGCTTCATTCAGCAAGGTGATGTGGTTCCTTTAGTCCATTGAAAGGTTATATCCAGGCGCCTGCCTCACCTTCCAGTCTTCAACCAACGCTTCCATATCACCTCACGCTCGCGCCTTGAGATGATGCGCAGTCTTCATGTGTCTCCACAGATTATCCTCCCGAGTGAACGTCTTTCCTCCCCCACGAGAGTATTCGCAGCTTGGTGCCAAGCAATGGTACCCTGGGACGGGAGAAGCTGACCCGCTCCCGCTACTGCCCCCGCTACCGTTGCCGGTCTTCTTCTGATGCTTCTTGGTCGAGAGGTGGCGCTCATGGTCGCGCTTTGTGTTGGAAGAGGTACCGCAATTGGAGCAGTGGTAGCGACGACCGCGGACATCGAGATCGCGGCCTTCGTTGTTCGGTGGAGATGGGTTGCATCTCTCGTTGTCTGATGAAGATGGAGTGCTTAGTGCGATGTCTGGGGCAGGAGAGGGCATGCTATCGAGTTCATTGAGTGCAGGGTGTGTGACCCGGGGCGCTTGAGGCTCCGAAAAGTTGAGAATGTGAAGAGAGTCTGGAGGTAGACTTTGGGGGAGATTGTCATGGTTGACAGTGCCAACAACCGAAGTGATGTTTCCAGCTACCTCATCACAGGATGGTGTGACTCCCTCGTCCTGAAGGTCCTGCACGTCACTGGTAGTGGGAGCAAAGTGGTGAGACCAGTCGGCATCAGGTAAATCTTCCTCTACAAAAGGGGGAGGTTCCGGATAGGTATAAAAGTTGGCGACAGCGTCCTAGGTCGGATGTGTTAGCGGTGTCAGCATGGTAGGTTGTTCAAGAAACAACAAAAAACAGGGTAGATGGACGGAACGTACAGGATTAGTATCATCTAGTCGGCTGATAGCTTCGGGTGACTGTCCGAAGTTGGCCGACCTTGTTTGGTTGTTATAATATCCGTCGTCGGCAAGGTCCAAGATAGCTTGAAAGCCATCCTGGGAGACGACATGGTCCGTGATGGGTGAAAAGTAATTCATCCCGAACTTGTTATTATCCATAGAGGTAGGAATATAGAGAAACTTGCGGTAGGTGATATAAGGTAGGTGCGTATGATGCGAAATGGGATGTCGGATCTGTCTTCCTCCAAGATACTGCTTGGTACCTTAAGTTTCTGATGACTCCGATGAGGTTACTGATTGATAAAAGACGAATGTTTGGGCCATCTGGAAGCAGGGGAGCCTGTTCTTTATAACAAGCCATCTCTTACTTGAGGCTAGGGAGAAAAGAGAGGCCAAAGATTTAATAGAGTGGTCAAATCTCTTCTTGCTCGCACATATTCCCCCAGAGTAGTGGTCGTGTAGGAATATCCTGAGTGGGATGGTCCCCGAGGCGGGTTCAGGCGGTGACGACCCCGGCTTGCAAGCTTAGAGCTGATGGTTATAATTAACGGAACGAAACGGCGCCCTACTCCTGCGATTGTTCGAATACATGGTGCCTGGTTGCAAGTTCCCATCCGTTCTCCAATGATTTAGTTGGGCGTCTGTTACTCCGTTTGTTTCCGCTAGGGGAAGCTTGTACTCGTCCTAACGTTTCTTAGCATCTCGGCCAATCGCTGACCAAACCCCCGGGTAGCAGACGAAACGGCAGAAAATCTCTATCTTGTCCGATCTGTCTTGTTACTAACTAAGGCGCTACTTTCCCGGGTATTTTCTTCGTCACACATACTTAGGCAACTACGTTTTATCCTCAGCTGGAAGCCATCGCGAATACCGGAGTTGGCCTGTATAGTTTTAGTACGTCTTCTACTAAGGACCGTTTTTGCCCCCTCTGCTCTCCTTTGGCGTTAACATTGGCCATTCCCGCTCAAAAAACGACTGTTTCATTTCCGTTATTATGAACCTTTAAGAATTAAGTCAATGCCAATCTTCAGTAACATTAACAACTAGTCAATTAAGAAGGTTGAGTACCTTATATCCAGCTCCCATTTCACATCCCGATTTCCATACGGCAAATGTAGATACATAAAGAACGGAGCCAAATGAGAATCTCCGCCTACCTAGCCACCGACGCATACATAATGTAGTTTTAGATATTCATACTTCAACACCACCCACGCGACGGGGAGTTTGCAAGAGGCTCTCAGACATCGGCTTATCTCGTTTTTTTCTGGACCGGCTGGACCTTTACTGAGCAATTCCTAAGTTCCGTTTCGGGCGTTTTAACCGCTCTCTCGGATACTAAATGAAGTTACGCGACGGAAAGCTTGAAGAGGCTCTCAAATGTCATACTATCACGGCCCGTTTTACAGAAGGATGCATCGTCGCCTCTACTAGGCAGGGGCACCCCCCAGTTCTCCAGTTCCGTCACAGACGAGTAAACTCCAGAAATGACGGAATCAGATCCCGGGCCCCCAAAGACGGGAGACTCCGTTTATGTTTCCTCGAGACGTACGGGGGAACTGCAGCAGTGCTGGGCAGGTTGGGAAACCTGGTACCCAATCGGGGCACTTCAATCCCATTCATAGTGGTAGACAAATAACCCAGCCCAAGAAAGCCACTGCAACCATGTGCTGTACATGTCCCCGGTATGTCTCACCTGCCGCGACGGAACTTCCATACGTGCAGTTTCCGTTTTTACGAGACAAGCTGGACAACGCCTGTGGTATAGCACCGTAATTCGAAAGGCACTAATGTACGCCTTCCGTTTCGGACACGGAACCACTGCCCTGTCCGCCTTTTGCCAGGGTCCCGTCTCACCTGGCATGTTTCCATCTGGCAGCCCTATTCCAGGGTCAGCGGGCGGTTCTAACGGATTGGCTCCCCCAAACATCTCGAGAAAACGGAACAGAACGGAGCTTGTGTGGACAAGGAAGGTTGCCGGCGGTGTCCCAATGGTCAGAAGTTATTGGTAACTTGAGTAACTGACCAGCGAGAGAGAAAACGGAAAAATGGGGTGCAAGTGAATTCGTTTTAGCGGGACGAAAGTTGTTGGTCCGACGGTTGGTAAACCTCTGTGTCTGTGGCCGCGCGGTGGCCTCTTCGCAGGTTTCCTGTCTTCTTCTTCGTGGTCCCATGTCCTGCTAGCAAGGTTGGGACCATGATTTGTCGTCACAGTATCACAAGCAAGCGGATGACACGAGGCTGGATTCCCGGATGAGTGAAACAGGAGGCGAGTATTTCCCATCCTACTTACAAAACAGTGCATCGCAGCGGAAGAACGCAGCATCCGTTTACACGCATAACGACAAGCACGTTCTCTCATTGTTCTTTCGTGCATATATGATGGTTTGTCATTTCCATATCTTCCTCTTCCTTTTCCCGATCTAATTACAAGAACGTAATACATAGTCTAACGTATTCCTCCAGTTGTCGTTAATAACATTGGGCGACGTTATCCAGCGGCGTCTGGCCCGCTCTTCCTCCTCATCTTCTTCCTTCTCCTGCTTTCCCCGTGGAGGTGGACGCCGACCTTGTGGCTGTTCCTTACCACCTCTTTCTCCCTGGCCGCTTCAAGCACGCTCCAGTGCATGGGTGACATGCATGCATGCAGGGCCCAGGTCCACCCACAAAATAACTGGAGCTCAGAGCTGCTGCCGCTGAAGATGCGGGCACATCAACAGGTGGTCCTCCTTGCTCCTCCGTCAAAGGCACAGAGCATGTATGATACAAAAGCATACAACGCGTCCGCGCCAAACCAAGAAAAGGAAGTAAAATCAAAAACAGGTTCGTGTCCATCAAGGAGTGAGAGGCCACTGATGGATAGTATGCCTTGTGGTCAGTCGTGAGTGCGCAGCTCTACACCATAATGAACTGGCGCGGTAGTCAAAAAGAAAAGTAACGGGCAATAGTTCGTCGTCATCAAGTCGATAATCGGCGTATCGCGCATCCAGGGCCCCACGGGAGCATGTAATGGATTGCCAAAAGCGCGATCGGCTCCAACAGGGAAGTTCGTGGCGTGATCGAGTGTCATGGGGGCGTGAAGAATATGTGAATGGGAAGACAGGCGACATATCCGTTTCCGGAATGGCCATGTCCTACCTGAAGAAGTTGTGCGTGCAAGCCTGATCATGTCGCTCACTGTCGAGTGCGAACAGTGGTGATCGGCCTACACAGCAACAACCCAACGAGCGGAGCGCTTCTACCGATCGGCCTCGTTGAAGTTGACGCGCTTCGAGCTCCTCCCCCACGAGTTCTGCTGGTACCGGCTCTCGGAGTTATGGTGCTGGTGCGATACGTTCTCCATGCTAGGCTGCTTCGCGGGTGTCGAGCTGCTGCCGAATCCGGGCACAGTAGACCATCTGTTGGAAACCTTCCTGGCAGGTGCTTCTTCCTTGGGCGAGCTGACGCCGACATCAGGGGAGAAGGGCATCTCCCTGGTGGAGTTGGTCTTGCTCGAGTTCACCGAGGATCCGGTGGTGTTGGGGGTGTTGTAGACGTACTCGCCGTCGACGTAGGTAGCGTTGGAGACGAACGTGGAGCGACGATGACGGCGGCGGGTGTAGCGCTGCTCAAGCCGGAAGAGCTCGATCTTGGCTTGGATGCGTTCGAAGAGGCCGACACCCATTGTGATAGATTCCTGATTGTGTTGCGAGGTGGAAGAAAGTTTTGTCGTCGTGTGTCGCAGACGAGGGTGTTAATCGATTGCGCAAGCGAAGCGTCGGTGTTGTCAGGTGAAAAGAGTGAATTGTTTTCGAAGTCGGATGCGATGGTAAAAGATTGATGATGTCGTGAATGAAGATTCTGCGTTGTCGGATCTCGAGTTCGGAGATGAAAGGGTGGGTTTATTGTTACTGGGCGCGGAATAACCGGAAGCTCAGGCTTGTTTGAATGACAGACTGGTGGTGAGGGGATTTGGATGGATTTGGGTCGGGGAGAGAGAGAGTGTGTGGGATGGCCCTGGTAATTGTAGAGAACGAATGTAGGGTCGACTTATCGGGCCTCCTGGCTGATGTTGCAGTCGACTAGAGAGAGCCGGGCGGTGGTTGGTGGAGGTTGGGCGAAGCGAGGAAGAGGAAGCGTGGCAGCGCAGCCGAAGGATTCGAGAGGAGAGGGGAGAGGAGAGGGGAAGAAGAGTTGAAGAAGGAAAAGAAGAAAGGTTCAGTTCGTTACGACCACCCGGGGCCTCATGGTGCCACTGCACCCTGTCGTGGCTGCCCACAGCTCAACAACGCACAGCACGCCCACAACAGCAGTCCTCCACTCGCACCTGCCCTTCGGAATGGAGTCTCTGCAGCTCTGGATGCCCGCGACGCCGAAACTGATAAACGGGCTCCGCTTTTCCTCTTCCGTCTAGACAATTGATTGGTCAATCGACTCTAAGAGAAGCAAGGGTACGACATCCAGCCCCACTGATTAATCAAAAGAGAGCAGGGATCAATTGCCCTCAGTTGCTGACACAACAGCGCCATCCAATCTTTTTAACAAAAATGAAGACAAAACACGGGTCCAGTGTGGATTTGCCGAGTTTGAGACGCCGTTTTGTTTTATGCTCGATTCTTGGGATGAACCTGGGCCACGCACTTTATCGCTCGAATTTATGAGATATCGAAAGCACTGTAATGAGAGAACAAAGTCATTGTCTGTCCGCCGCCATCCGATTGTGGTGGTGTGTGTTCGGATATCGGCTAAAAACTCTGCATCGCCCACAATCCGAGGCTGCGCCCAAGCGAGCAAATCAAGGCGACCAAGCAAGAAGCTAATGATGAAGACGATCAACAGTGCCAGCAGAGTGGGATGGGCGCGGCGGCCTCGAACCAGTTCAGTTGTCCGGTTGATACGAGTCGCCGAGTCTTGTCTCACCTGGGCATCTTCTAGTGTACCGGTAGCCATCAGTCATTCGATTTGATTTACCGGCAATTAACCACTCGGTCGCACAAGGAGGCACCAAAGGAAGCCATGGAATTTCCCCCCGACTCAGAATATTCTCCCCATTCAATTCAGTCTTCCAGAATGTGTTCCCCGACGATAGAACCATGCAAGACCGTTGCTTGTCAAAATGTTGGTTCGTCTACAGGCGAGACATGGGGAAATGAATGGTGAAACAATGACGAGCACGGCATCCCAGGGCAATGATGTGCACAAAGGGAATCACGATCACCGAACACAAAGCAAGCACGGACCCCTTTCTCGTGTGCTCCTCAGCACCAAACCTCGTCCAGAATTCTTCCCCGCCCCCTGATTTTCATTGAATGTCCACCCCGGTCCCCCACGTGTTGGTACCTGCGTCACTGGAGACCGAACCTTTTTCTCCATTCTCCAACCCAGTTGTCTGGACCACTCACCGAGCACAAGAGGTCAAAACTTTCCGCGCCGAGCCTTGATCGACCTCTCACCAATTCACAAAGCCCGTGCTGTACGCACCCATCTTGAGGTTATTTGCACGTCTGCCCATCGGGCTCGCGCTGGATATAGAACCCTCAATCGAGGAGTGGAGGCGGACCGGACCGGACAATTGAGCGAGCGACCATGACCCCGACCCGGAGATTACGTTACCAGACCATTCTGTACAGCCCGGCGCCTTGGTGAGGTTGGGCCTCGATGACAATTTGGTCACTGATCTCCTGTCACCGCCCGCTGGATCAGCAGGCGGAGAGAGAGTGAGATCAAATTGGCGAACCTGTGTTTGCCTCGACCTTCCACCTGGGCAGTTTCGTCTTTAACGCTGGCGGGCGAAATTGTTAGTGCGGCAGGTTCCACAAAGGCTTGGCGGCCGAGTCAATGTTGGGCTAAGACTTGGACACCACTAACACCGTCTTGATACTCTTCGAAACTCACCTTGAACACTCGTCAGTGGGATCACGCCCAATGGTTGAAGGGGGTTTAATACTGAACATACATGAAGTCATTGACAGCATCATACGAAGACACGATGCTTCTCGGCGTTGTCATGGATCTGTCATACGATACCAAAGCGCCCATAAGCGTGCTAGTGGAAGACTCAGCTGCCGAGCTGACACCGCTCCAGAGGATCACCAACACACACGAGACAGGACAGAAAGCGTTGCGCGACCTCAGAAGTACTGCTATGCATTGATGTTTCTGGTGGCATATACTCCTTCTAACTCCAGAACTTACACTCACTCATGGATTCTCTATCCCCCCTTATAAGTACCTCGCTAACAGAAAAAGAAGTGAACCCCCCCAAAAAAACCAGCGTTTACCAACCTCAACATCCTCGAACCCTCACAACACCTCATCATGCTCCACGATCCGAGATCCCATGCATCTTGGCAATATGCCTCCACAGGTTATCCTTGCGCGGAAAGGTCTTGCCGTTGCAGTTCGAAACTGGACAGCGGAATCCCGAGCCAGGGGTCAATGACTGGAAGTCTTCGAGTGGCACTTTGTCATTGCTGCCCTTGCTGGTGTTCTTGCTGAGGATTTTGCGATGCTTCTTAGTACCCAAGTGACGATTGAAGTCTCGCGGCGTCTTGGCGGAGATGGAACCGCAGTAGTCGCAGGTGAAGAGCTTGGGGCTGGGAGTATGTGGTGACTCTTGAATGGCTGCAGCTGAACCCGAGGCTTCACCACTCTCTCTCGAGGCGACGATGTTGAAGTTGTTTCCGGGAGCTGGAGTCGGTTGGAAGAGCAAGTGGCTAGGAGGCTTAGCTATGTTGCTTGCATTCGAAGAGCCGAGGACCATCGAGCCGCTCGTCTGGTTGGGATTGCTAACATCAGGGTCAGGGTACTGTAACAAAATCCGATGCGATTAGCTTGGTTACCTATCAAGTAGGCAAGAACTCTCATTGCCTTATCCGTCATGACGGTAAGTTAGCAGGGCGAAAAGTCAAGGACTAAGTTACCCCTAGGCCAAAACTGACGAGCTGGTTGGGGACCTGTTCCAGGTCAAGACCTTCCCATTGGGCCTGATCACCCTCATTGTCGAAAAAGGTCATATCATTAACATTGCCGAGGAGGTGAACTGGTGATAACCCTTAATAGAAAGCTGAAAAGTCCATGAGGTCGATAGCTACCTGCTCGCGAGGTGAAGATTGAGTGGTGGTATGAAGAAAGGCTTAGGACTGAATGGAGAGAGCAACTATGGAGGCAGCATGGTGGGCATTGGTTCTCTTTAAAACTTGAGAAATGTTTAGAGCCTCAAGGAGGCCAAGCCATCAGAGCGCCCGTTGTTGAGTTATGAGGCCTTAGGGACAAACTTGAATCGTTTTCAACGAGCATAAAAGACGGCAACGTAGTAAATCTCCGGAAGCTCGCCAAGCTTGGCGAACAACCTGTCCGCCGCACTTGAATCTCGACGATTATTCGACGAGACAACGTACCCTAGCACAGGTGGCTTCCGGTGGCTTATGCAGACAGCGCTCCAAGAGAAAGAAGTTCAAAACAGGGAAAGATCGACTGCGAGGAACAACCTAGCTCCGGCAAATCAGGAGCCCCAGGTTGACGTAGCGATGTTAGTGCAGTTCCCTTGACAGCGGACTTTACAAAAACTAAATGCCCGCTCAATGGTCTACCGGCTGATAGCGTACTAACAGCTACTGTCTTACCTGTGTAGGCTTCGCCCCTTCCAATGATAGGCAGACAGACTTCAGAGTTCAGTCTCTTCATCGATTGGGTATGACGCCAGCGCCCTATGGAACTGTTCCTATTTGTGAGAAAAGAGGCTTTTTGTTGTTGTTGTTATT